GGAATGATAGTGATGAGTTTGGATTGAAGCAGGGGATCGAGTTCGAATACAGAAGGGGCTTTCTCGTTAATGGGGATTAAGAATATACTAAGAAGAGCACCAGAAAACCCAAGGAGACTAAAATATTGAATATCCTTCAAGAAAATAAACTAAAATAAACTCGATTCACAAACAAGATCGGATTTAGGATAGATAGCATCCATTGGCTTCTAAACTTAGAAAGAAAAACATATTTTGGAGACGGATATTTTTTAAATCTAAACAAATTTAGTTTTATAAGGGGTTACCTCGTGAAAATTTTCAAAAATTAATAATAATTAAAATTTTTAATTGAGAATGCAGATTTATTACGGTTTTAAAAACTAGCATAGGAAAGCTTTCCGAATCAAAATGAATGCATTTTTGTTTTAGATATGCTGGTTTGCATTTTTTTTTAAAGGGGGCAAGAGTTATACAAAACTGGGTATTCTTGATTTTTGTTTTGATATAAATACAATTCAAGAACATTTATCTCTATAAAAAAGAAACTTTTTATTTGGGATTTTCATTCATGAGAAAATATTTCGAATTTGAGTGGATGTTGGAAAAAAGATTGTAGATTCCAGTCTGGTTAAGGTGCAGCAGAAAATTTTATATAGAAAGTAAAAAGTCATGCAGAAACTTATATATGTATAAAGTGTCAAGAAGATCTTAGGGTATTCGTTGTATTTACAAATATATAATAGAAAATATCATGCACTAAAGGTTTAGAAAAGGAATATCATGCATCAAGGTAAATAAGTTAAAGCTGGTCCTAAGATTTCATAAAGAATTGGTTGTATTTACATAAGAGTGCTGAGTTTCATGCACTAAGGGCCTAAGGGAATATCATGCACAGAGAGTTAAGTAAGTCACAAGTAAATGGTCAGGAATGCTCATGCAGGACTCGAAATGGAGTCCACAGCCTGACCGGGATAGAGCGCTCACCTTACAGTGTGGCGGCAGACGCGTGGGTATCCAGGATACCTTATTTGAGTCTTGGGTGCCCGTCAGCTGGTCGACTGAGTCGAGGTAGAGCGTGAGCGGCTGGGCGGGGCTGGCGTAAGTTAGTAATTGCTTAAAGTGTGCTGTTAAGGGGACAAGATCATCGGGGATGTTCTCGAAGGGTAGCATGTAGTTGTAAGAGATCTGCAGGTCGGATTAGGGTGTGGGTGTTGTTGTGAGTGGGCGTGTGGGTGTGGGTGTGGGGGAGGAGTAAGAGGAAAAGGGTTAGTTCGAGGGTACTGGCTGGTGGCTGCTTCTGGATGGACTTCACCTGCTGACAGATGGAAATCAGGGTGGCCGTCAAGGCACTGGAGTCCGGCGTGGTGCCCAGGAAACGGATGACATTGATTGGCCGCGCGTGGGCGAACCATTCGCAGGCCACGAGGGAAGCGCTCTTGGAGAGCAGCGAGGTCTTGCCGCAGCCTCCGTCGCCGAAAAGGACAAGTGGCTTATCTGAATCCCCCAGCATGTAGCGCTTGATACGTTCGCAACTTTCCTCGCGCCCGTAGAATATCTTGACCGAATTGTTGCAAGCGTGCAGATGCTGAAGGATCTCAGTTACTATCTGCCCCTGTGCACTGGAGTCTTCTTTGCGCATCGCCCTATCCACCAGCTTCACCACATTCTTATAGAAGTGCGAGATGAAATGATTCAGGTACTCCTCGTGCGTCTCAATGTCCAGTCCCTCCCGTCCGATCCACTCCACGGTGTATCTGCAAAGTCCCGCCCCATCAGATTGGATTAGCATCCGACCACCAGTCTCCATCACTCTGTAACATCTCGGCTCACGTGCTCCGCTTCCCTTACTTCTGAGCATTGACCGCCTCAATCTTGGCCGGCAGCCGGGTGTCTCTCAGGTCGCCCATCAGCTTGGCTGCTTCCGTATCCAGGCTGCGATTAATGATGTCCACGAACAGCGAGGCCTTCTTTAGGTTCTGCAGGTTGATGTTGTTGATGTACCGCACGTAGGCCAGGCAATGGTTTTTCGTATTCTTCACGCTAAGGATCCCGTTGATCACCTCCCGCTCTGTCACTACATGCGGATCAGGAATGTTCAGCTACCACTACGACCACTACCAGCTAAGGCTACGCACTCACCTGACATGAAGTAGTTGTGCACCTCGTCCTTGGTCATCTTATTGCTGGCCCCCAGAGAGGCGGCCGCTTTCCGCAACAGCTTCTGCATCTTATTCAGGGTGTCCCACCACACCGCCTGGTCCTCCGCCTGCAACTTGGGAACGCGCTGTGGAAAATACCGATCAAGAATGGGATATCAAAGGGATCCTTTCAATCAAAAATATTAAATAAACTTCTTCAAAAGGTTTAACAACTAATCCTTTATTAAAAATTATTTAGTTATTAACTTTTAAAAGTTAAAATTTATTGCAACTGATCGGCATGTCAAATTCGAATTCAAATTTGTCATGGTACATTTAAATTCGAATTTAAATTTGCCGCTCAACTGAAACGGCGGCAAACTGATAGTCTATTGAAATTCAAATTTGGCGGTTAAGTTAATGTATTTTTTTTTTTTTTTTTTTTTGTAAATTGTTGTTGTAAATTGTAAGTTGTTGTTGTTGTAAAAGAATTGTTTGTTGTTGTTATTGTTGTTGTAGGAATTGCCAAGCTTCAATTCGGCCGTTTTCAGTACGTTTTCGGATCTCAGGTACCAGGCGAACAGAAAGCAGCAGCAAGCAACGCAATTTTTGACCGACAAGAGTTGCCGGATCGATGGCATGCGCGATCGATCTGGCAATTTTGGTCACAGAGAGTTGCCTGACTGGCAGAATATTCAGTCGATCCGGCAACCCTTGGCGCGAAATTTTGAGCCGGTGTTGCCTGATCGATCGCATATACCATCGATCTGGTAGCCCTGGACTGCAAAAATTCAGTCGCTTGCTGCTGCTTTCTGTTCGCCTGGTACCTGAGATTCGAAAACGTACTGAAAACGGCCAATTTGAAGTTTGGTTTTGCCTACAACAACAACAGCAACAACAAGGAACTCTTTTACAACAACAACAACATACAATTTACAACAAAAATTTACAAAAACAAAAAAAATTGTTGCTGCTTACTAATGTGGCGGCAACTGATCGTCGATTTAAATTCAAATTTAAATTTATCGGTTAACTGATATTCAAATTTAAATTTATCGGTTAACTGATATGGCTGATATTCAAATTTAAATTTATCGGTTAACTGATTTGGCGGGACTATTTGAATTCAAACTCACCTTATTGTTAAAGTTTATCAAAATGGATGAGATGGGTTGCAGCACTGAGATGGGCGGCACCGCATTGCTGTCCTTTTTGTACCACAAATCGAGGAGGGCTCGGTCCACGCCCATAGAGGTAAGCTCCTCGCAGATCAGGGCCAGCTCCGAGGAGACAATGTACGTGGGTATGGGACGGTAGCCGTACTTTTGGCCCAGAAACACAATGAAGTTCGGACCCATCGAGAGGCGCTGACAGTTCTTGATCTCACGCATGCACAGCTCCGTGGTCATGTGATCGTCCGTGGCCTCGTCTCGCACTCCCCAACGCATGTCCACTACCTGGAATTCCAGGCCGTGCTTCTCGCGACAGTAGTCCTTGATGCGCGGATAGCACTTGGCCATCAGGGTGTTCCGCTCCATGGTGGTGTCTGCGAAAATCCGAATTACATAACCAAGCATTGCTCACACTTTTCACACTTCACCGCCACCCGGCAGCACATGGGCAAAGGCGGAATAGCAGTGGGCTGAACCCTTTCTGTTTACCCACCCGTGAACGTGGAGCTGGTAAAGATGCGTACGATTTTCGAGCTAACCGGTGGCAGGGACTCCAAGGAGCCCAGGAATATGGAGTCAATGGTACGGTCATCCATGGCTGTCCACTGTTGGTATCTCTGTCTGCTCCAGGTGCCGCAAGTGCAGCTCCGCGATTATGTTCCGCAGTCTGTGAAATCCAATATGTGTCTGCGCCAAAACGGAGACCCAGAAAGTGCCGTAAAGTCGCAGCGGCTGTTTGATCGATAATCCGGATACGTGGCGCATTTGACAGTCGCCTAGTTGACGGTTGTTTTTGAGTTCAGCTCCGCTGACAGCGCACGGCAGTGCGCGGCCTCAAAACGGGGGCTCTTCTGGGGAGGATGAGCCGGGATCCGAGTTTCCCCAACAACGGGCAACACCTGTTGATTCCCTCCTTGATTGGAAAGCCATTTCGGCTGGTTTTATGGATGTCAGACGCCTGATTGATGTCTGGGCCTCCGGCTTTGACATACAACAAGTGTTTTCAAGTGCTCGGGGCCTTCCCCCAAAAAGCGGGTAACTTGCGTGCCTGGCTTTCATTCGTGACCGATCCGGGAATCCAGGCGTGGGCGTGGGACCGGCGCTGGCTGCAACTTTCAAAGTCAACCGGGATGGCGACTGCGAAACGGTGCCACTTAATAGCTTTTCGACTCCGGTCTGGGCCAGAGGCACGGGTAAGTGGGTGCCAGATTTGTAGCCCTTGGTCTGGTCTGGTCTGGATATGGGCCCGGCTGAGTCTTACACATTTGACCTCGACCTAGCAGCGTGCGTGTTTACCCAAATAAATCATCGTGGCTTGCAAGCTTAAGAGGTGGCTTGGCTTACTGACTTCTTACCCGGAAGTTCTGTTTTGGGCCAAGTGCTGCTCGTGTGCCATTTTTAGGCACTGACTTTTGATGGTTGCTCATTGATTTCAAACTTGGGGCAATGTAATTGGGCGAAAAACGTTCAAGATTATCAATTTTGACATGCCTTTCATTTTGGCGAATTGGTTCAAATATGGGTCCAATTTAAAGCCTAGTTGCTTGAAAACGAACTTTTGATTTACTATTGATGGTAGTTTAAACTGGATAAACAGATTAGGCCATAATTAACACAGCTTTGTGAAAGACAAAATTAACATCTTTATGAAAAAAAGGTACACACTTCTTTGAGTTTTATAACAATATATTTATTTGTTTATGTTCGGTTTGTTAGTTTTCTATAAGGACTTGAATTTTTTTGTCATTTTTGATGATTTCTGCAAAATTTCATATTCCAATATATATATTACTGTATCTTTGCTTATATAGTTTTTAATTTCTTTTCCGTACATGATGAATGAAGCTAATAATGACGTTTAGTTACTGATGTTACGATGGGGATGATAATGATGATGGTTCGTATAAGAATAGGGAGTTATTTGTAAAATACTCGTTCATATGGGATTCAACTGCCATTGCAATACACTTTCCTATGATTTTGAAACGCGTTTAACTAATTTCATTTAAGTTGGCTATAGGATAATGGAGACTATATTCTATATAGGCTATAGGTGTTAGTTCCGTTGTGTTTTTGTTTGTTTTGAGAGAGATAAAAACTTGTTGTTAATCACTTTTCTTTAGGGACTGTCGCGCAAATTAAATTAACTACGATTTAGCATTGCTTGCGAATGCCGTTTGGGTTTTTAAATATATATCATATATTATATCATGTAGCTATATTTCGATAATAAATAGTTAAACATATTGAACTAAACAGTAATCAAATAAAAATGGTAAACAACTAATAAAAAAATAAGAATTACTTGTTACAAACTGCAGCCGCGGGGCCGCGAACAGACAAGGATGCGTCTACTACGGCTGGCCATTCTGGTGAACCACTGGCACCGTTAATCCCATCCTGGTCGGTGCGGCCGCCGTTGGTTTGGCTGCCGAGGCTGCAGGCTTTGTGTCCGGTTTGGTGGCCGGTATGGCTTTGGCCGCCACTGCCAGCTTATGAATGTGTGGCGACGATGGCGACGTCACTGTTATTCTACAATAAGAAAAAGCTAATGGTTTACACGCATACACACGCGGAGGAGGAAGGAGTGGAGCAGGGCGTGGCGGAGCAGCGGATGAGAGCGGAGTGGAACGAGGAGTTGTTGTTTTTTTTTTTTGTCACATACGCATTAACATATTTACACGCATCGTTTTTCGGGTGTTTGGTTTTTATGAGTTTGTTTAGGGCGGCAGGAGGCATTCATTTGTTGGTTGGTTTTGTTTGGAGCATTGCAGCATTGACGGCGGTTGTCGCGTTGGTTTTTGGGGTCATTTGTGGATGTGGAGGCGGATTGCGGATGGTGGATTGTGGCGGATGGTTTGCATGTATGATTTAATTATTTAAATTAGATAAGCCGGCAATAGCAACAGACCTTACAGACTATAGCTAACTAGCGATAGGCGATATTAAGAGGCGGACAACTAGAGGGTGAGAGAGTCTACGCTGTGCTTGGGCCTTAATGCTTGTGCTGCTGTCTGCTGTTCGAGTTGACTTCGTTATCAGCGTACCTAGGGCTGTTGTCTTCCTTTTCAAAGACCACGGTGCGCGTGGTGCTAACAACTGTGCCGTTTCCACCGACGCCGCCACCGATGCTGCCGTTCAGCGACTGCTGTGAGCTGCGCTTAACGTGCACGGGCCGCAGTCGCTCCTCCAGGTCGCTAATGGAGCCCACAGAACTAAGGCTTTCGTCGCTGTAATGGTGTGGAATCAAAAATCTTTAGTTTTGTGTCTCAGCAATAGGGTAGCTTCATTTGTAATTACCTCTCACTCAGCTCCTCTTCACCCTCCTCCTCCATGGCCTGCTGCAGATCCGCTATACGTTGCAGGGCCAGGCGCAAGTCGTTCTTAAGGGCCGCTCCCTCCGATTCCATTTGCTCCATCTTCTTCTCGAGATCCTTGCGACGGGCTAGCGACTCCTGTTCGCGGCTAGAGACAGTATGGAACTCCTCGCGCATGTCGCGCAGACTCTTTTGCGACTTTTTGAGCGCATCCTGGGCCTGCATGTCGCGCATCTTTGACTGCGTAACCTCGTTCTGAAGCTTTTCAAGGGCCTCCTTGTGACGGTTCACCTGCACCTCCAGTCTAGCCCGGGTGGCCTGTTCCAATTCGAGGCGGGATTCCAGCTCCTTGGTGCGTAGCTCCAAGCTGTTGGTTTTATTAAGTGATTAACTTCATAATAATAGTAGGTTTTTAAAAACTTACCGCTTGGACATCATGGCCATAGAGGGATCACCCAGATTCTCGACGTTGTCTAGACGGTGCTGCAGATCGGTGACCTGCTCCTTTAGATTGTTACGCTCGGCCTCCATCTCGTTGAGCTTAAATTCCGCCTCGGAGACGTTGATCTGTTCAGCATTTAGCTGCTTGACGGTGGCGCTGTACTTCTTCATCAGTTCACTCATCTCCTCCTCGTTCTCATCGATCTGGGCCTGCAGCTCGACCGCCTCCCTAGTCGCCGCGTTGGCCCGCTCCTCAGCATCGTTTCTGCCACGATGTGATTCCTCGAACATGGCCTGCACTTCGGTTAGTTCCGCTTCAGCTGCTTGCCGCGCCTTGAGAGCCAGAGATCGAGCGGATTCGGCATCTTCCAGCTGATTGCGCAGCTGACGGATGAGCGTCTTACCAGGCGTGTCTGCCTTCAGCCTCTCCAGCTGCGTCTGGGCATCCTTGAGCAAGGCCTTATACTTGCGCAAGTCACGTCGCAGCTTCTGGTTGAGTGCCTCCTCGGCATCGCGATCAACACGGTCACGATCCTCCATGGAGGAGAGACGACGCTCCAGCTCGTGCTTTTCGCGTAGCAACAGGGTCCTCTCCTCGTGCTCCGTTTCCAGTTGGCACTCGAGAGCCTTGATCTTTTTGTACCCATTGCCCCGAACCTCCTCCAGCTCCTCGTCGCGCTGCTGGGATTCGCGACGCGCCTCCTTGCGCATCGTTTCCAGGGACATCTCGAGACGCAGCTTGGCCTGCTCGAGAAGCTGTATCTGTCCGGCCATCTCATCCAGCTCCTCCTCCTGCTCCTTGGCTCGACGCTCTGTTTCATTCTTAGAGCGTCGCAGCTGGGCAAACTCCTCCTCGGTGCCACCGCCAAAGGTCATCTCATCCAGTTCTCGTTGCAGCGAGGCAAGTTTCTCCTCTTTGAGCTCAAGATCTAGACGGGTATCCTGAAAAATAAAAGAACACATAGTTACATATGAATAGGGATTTAGGAATTTATTACAATTATTCAGGCACTCCCTAGTGATAAATTCAGTATATATTCACTACATTATAAAGGCCTCCATTTAGTCACCTTAATGGACTCAATTTTCTGGAATTTGGATCTGGGCTTTGTGCCCATTCGGACTCACTTGAATCATCAGCCGAGTTGAATAGCGGAAACTCATGGCTGTACTTGTGCTTGGCTGGGAAATTGTCTCTATGTGTCTCTTTTGTGTGCCTCTGCCTCGGGGTTTATGGTATCTAAATCGCAGCAATGGCCAGTTCAGTTATCGCCCTCCATGGAGGCTCTTCCTCTGCCAGCTAATTATGAGTATCGAAAGCGTAATGAGAACGCCGCCGCCAACGTTTTAATTTCTTTTTCTTTTTTTTTTGCCAGGCCGAGTAATCAAGAACGCTGCAACAGACGAAACGAAGGCAACGGAGGCCAGAGACAGCTCTATGTACTCCAGTTATCGCACGTTGACGTTCGTCGAGCTACTGTCGAGCGGAACAATGAAGAAAGCGGCAAAGCGGAGATCCACAAATGTGTGACCGAACCGCCGACCGACACTGAGATACAGAGATATAGCGCGACGAACTGAGCCATTGAGAGAGAAAGAGCAGAAGGAGGGAACGGTTTGAGTACAGGCCGATAAAAACATAAGAACCGAGAACCGAGAACCGAGAACCGACAACTGGAAGATCTCGGAATGGAACTAGGCGAGAGAGCGAGTCGCACATGCCGCACATGCGTGCATGTGTCGAATGCTCGGTGTGGGCAGGTAGGCAGGCGGCCTAGGAGGAACGCAGGCGCAGGCCATGGGCAAACAAGCCGAACGAGTTTCCGAGCCCGAGATATGCAGTATCTGTATCTGTATCTCGACTGCAATGTCCGCAACGTGCCGCCACTTGCTGGCACACACTGGCCAGCAAATTTGAGTAACTCGTTCCTACCTGACCTACACAAACAAATGAATAGTAAAGTGTAATCGATATTTAATTACATTTTCTCGAAAGACTTACATGTTTTAATAGCAAAATAATATCATATATTATAATCAGTAACTATCAATGAACATTAAGTAATTATGATCAGTAAATAACTATGGTCAGTAAATAAGAGCAACAAGTAACTATGATCAGTAATTAACTCTGAACAGTAAGTATCTATGAACAGTAACTAACTATGATCAGTAAGTATCTATAACCAGTAAGTATGTATGATAAGTTACTAACTTTGAACACTAATAAACAATGACTTGCAACTTTTGTAACACAACACATATCTGAGAGTTGGTCGGCAGCACTCAGTTCGTTCCGGGGATGTTAGAAGTAGTTGGGAATCATATGCTTACAAGTGCGAGATTTGTTTTGGAACAAATTTAGGAGCAAGCTATTTGAATGAAACTATGAAGTTATTCGTCAATATAATTTTACTGGTATATAAGTCGGACCATGGCGAATCGGTGGACTATATATACATATATATAGCTGACATAGGAACAATCGGACGATTTATAGAACTATGATCAGTATTTAACTATGATTAGTATTTAACTATGATCATTAGCTATGAGCAGTAAGTAACTCTGAACAGTAAATATCTATGATCAGTAATTAACTTCGAACAGCAAGTATCTATGACCAGTAACTCTGAACAGTAAGTATCTATGATCAGTAATAAACTCTGAACAGTAAGTGTCTATGACCAGTAAGTAGCTAAGATCAATAATTAACTCTGAACAGTAAGAATCTATGACCAGCAAGTAACTATGATCAGTAAGTATCTATAACCAGTAAGTATGTATGATTAGTTACTAACTTTGAACACTAATAAACAATGACTTGCAACTTTTGTAACACAACACATATCCAAGAGTTGGCCGGCAGCAGTCACTTCGTTCCGGGGATGTTAGAAGCAGTTGGGAATCATATGCATACAAGTGCGAGATTTGTTTTGGAACAAATTTAGGAGCAAGCTATTTGAATGAAACTATGAAGTTATTCGTCAATATAATTTTACTGGTATATAAGTCGGACCATGGCGAATCGGTGGACTATATATACATATATATAGCTGACATAGGAACAATCGGACGATTTATAAAACTATAATCAGTAATTAACTATGATCATTAAGTAAATTTGAGCAGTAAGTACCTCTGAACAGTAAGTATCTATGACCAGTAGGTAGCTAAGATCAATAATTAACTCTGAACAGAAAGTATCTATGACCAGTAACTAACTATGATCAGTAAGTATCTATAACCAGTAAGTATGTATGATTAGTTACTAACTTTGAACACTAATAAACAATGACTTGCAACTTTTGTAACACAACACATATCCAAGAGTTGGCCGGCAGCAGTTACTTCGTTCCGGGGATGTTAGAAGCAGTTGGGAATCATATGCACACAAGTGCGAGATTTGTTTTGGAACAAATTTAGGAGCAAGCAATTTGAATGAAACTATGAAGTTATTCGTCAATATAATTTTACAGGTATATAAGTCGGACCATGGCGAATCGGTGGACTATATATACATATATATAGCTGACATAGGAACAATCGGACGATTTATAGAACTATGATCAGTATTTAACTATGATTAGTATTTAACTATGATCATTAGCTATGAGCAGTAAGTAACTCTGAACAGTAAATATCTATGATCAGTAATTAACTTCGAACAGCAAGTATCTATGACCAGTAACTCTGAACAGTAAGTATCTATGATCAGTAATAAACTCTGAACAGTAAGTGTCTATGACCAGTAAGTAGCTAAGATCAATAATTAACTCTGAACAGTAAGAATCTATGACCAGCAAGTAACTATGATCAGTAAGTATCTATAACCAGTAAGTATGTATGATTAGTTACTAACTTTGAACACTAATAAACAATGACTTGCAACTTTTGTAACACAACACATATCCAAGAGTTGGCCGGCAGCAGTCACTTCGTTCCGGGGATGTTAGAAGCAGTTGGGAATCATATGCATACAAGTGCGAGATTTGTTTTGGAACAAATTTAGGAGCAAGCAATTTGAATGAAACTATGAAGTTATTCGTCAATATAATTTTACAGGTATATAAGTCGGACCATGGCGAATCGGTGGACTATATATACATATATATAGCTGACATAGGAACAATCGGACGATTTATAGAACTATGATCAGTATTTAACTATGATTAGTATTTAACTATGATCATTAGCTATGAGCAGTAAGTAACTCTGAACAGTAAATATCTATGATCAGTAATTAACTTCGAACAGCAAGTATCTATGACCAGTAACTCTGAACAGTAAGTATCTATGATCAGTAATAAACTCTGAACAGTAAGTGTCTATGACCAGTAAGTAGCTAAGATCAATAATTAACTCTGAACAGTAAGAATCTATGACCAGCAAGTAACTATGATCAGTAAGTATCTATAACCAGTAAGTATGTATGATTAGTTACTAACTTTGAACACTAATAAACAATGACTTGCAACTTTTGTAACACAACACATATCCAAGAGTTGGCCGGCAGCAGTCACTTCGTTCCGGGGATGTTAGAAGCAGTTGGGAATCATATGCACACAAGTGCGAGATTTGTTTTGGAACAAATTTAGGAGCAAGCAATTTGAATGAAACTATGAAGTTATTCGTCAATATAATTTTACAGGTATATAAGTCGGACCATGGCGAATCGGTGGACTATATATACATATATATAGCTGACATAGGAACAATCGGACGATTTATAGAACTATGATCAGTATTTAACTATGATTAGTATTTAACTATGATCATTAGCTATGAGCAGTAAGTAACTCTGAACAGTAAATATCTATGATCAGTAATTAACTTCGAACAGTAAGTATCTATGATCAGTAATAAACTCTGAACAGTAAGTATCTATGACCAGTAAGTAGCTAAGATCAATAATTAACTCTGAACAGTAAGAATCTATGACCAGCAAGTAACTATGATCGGTAAGTATCTATAACCAGTAAGTATGTATGATTAGTTACTAACTTTGAACACTAATAAACAATGACTTGCAACTTTTGTAACACAACACATATCTGAGAGTTGGTCGGCAGCACTCACTTCGTTCCGGGGATGTTAGAAGCAGTTGGGAATCATATGCACACAAGTGCGAGATTTGTTTTGGAACAAATTAAAGAGCAAGCTATTTGAATGAAACTATGAAGTAATTCTTCAATATAATTTTACTGGGATATAAGTCGGACCATGGCGAATCGGTGGACTATATATAAATATATATAGCTGCTATAGAAACGATCGGAAAATGTAAAGAAAAATAGTATAACTCTTCCAGTTTTCAATGCATTTTCATCAAATTTCATATATTGCCATTAAAAATTATTATAGAATTTGGTGTAAAATTTTATGAAAATCGGACTTCTATGTATATCATATAGCTGTCATACAAACGATCGTTAAAAATAGAGAAAAATGCAAAACTGTGAATGTAGAAACTTAAATTTCCGGCAGAACAGTGTTATATCGGAACTCATGTTGCTTGCGACAACATGCTCTTGTCAACATGTTGCCGCGACTGACTAGCAGCATGATGCCTAAGATTAGCAAACCACTCCACTGGAAGAAACTATGGACTTACCGCTAGTGACTGCTCTAGTGTGAATTTCTCGGCCTGCAGAACATCCTTCTCGCGACCGTAACGCTCCTTAGCCTGGCGCTCCTGGCGAGCCGCATCCTGCAGGGACTGGCACTCGGCATCGAACTTGCGCTGCTTCTTCTCGAGCAAATTGTTGCGTGCATTTTGCTCCTCGAGCAGCATGCGCAGATCGTTCATCTCGTTGGTCATCTTCTGTGCCTTGCGCTTCCATTGGCCCACAACCTGACGTTGCTCCTCAACTTCTTCGTAGGCATCGGAAAGCTGTGGAAGGGATAGATTAGGATATATCTAGGGGAATTCTTTGATCTGTTCTGCGTACCTTCTTTTCCAATTGCTTCTTGAGCCCGACCAGCTGTTCCAGATCGTGCTCATGCTGTGTGTGCAGCCGCCGCTTGGTGAACTCCAGCTCCCGGGCCACCCGCTCGTACTTGAGCTTGTAAACTCCGCCACCACCGTCCTCGTTCTCGGCATCCTCGTCCTCGGAAATTCCATTCAGATCGGACTTGGCGCATATCAGCTCCATCTCCAGCTTCTCCGTCGTCTCCTGCAGGTTCTTCACCTTATTGGCCTGATCGCCGAGCTCCTTCTCCAGCTTCAGGCGCTCGGCGGTCTCCGCCTCCAGGCGCTCGGTGGCTATGTGGGCCGTGGATCGCTCTTCGGCAAGGTCCACAGTCAGCTCGGATAGCTGCAAAGAGTTGAGGATATTCGGAGAGTATAGAGCATTCATTTTTAATTGTGTTCCAGTTTTCTCAAGGAATTTATTATCGTATTATTTGACTGTTTGTTTGGATTCAAATTGTGCGATCTCTACTTCTGTCTGCCATGTGTCTAAACAAGTGAGATCATTATTTATAAAACCAGCATTTGTCGGGAGTAGCGGATATATATGTTAATATATAGTGTGGGATGAACTTATAACCTTGAACTGCTGAAGTACCAAGAGGAAGTAACAACAATATTTACATCCGATATGAATATATAAGTCATAAAAGCTTTGCCTAAAAGTATTATTTTAATACTATTAACAATTTCTTTAAGAAATTCGTTCTTTAATTGATAACGACACAAGCTATTTGCATAATTTCTCATTCTTCTGACGTCGTTTATACTAAAAATCTAGGAAATACGTTGGCAAGAAAAATGGACTAAAAATCGCACAATACACGAGGAAATTACTCATACGTAGGATCATTCACTTGGGCATAGATCAAAGCATCACAATCTGACAAAAAATGCTCCTATTCAATCTTATTCCCATGACACAAATTGAAACGAACTGAGTGGATGAATGATAGAGAAGGTCGGTTCATTGCCCTTCGAGGATTTGGATAGTGTTCGAATAAATAGTATTTCCAGAAAAATTTTTGGACAACACTTTTCTATTGCCTCCATACTTTTGATACATATTTTTTATTTTGCCCCAAATGCCACAGTGGAGAAACAACAAATATTATGATTATGAATATGGAATATTTCCCTCCTCCGCACTCAAAGAATTCCGCCGTGTGATTCATGATATACCCGATCCCAAAAATAGATGCTCCTTCTCCGACTCAGGTGTGGGGTGGGCGGAGATACTTTGCCGCTGTCAATGTCAGCGCAGCATGGAAGCCCCATATCCCCATCCCGTTGAGGCGGTGCTGTTTGTTTAGGAATTTATGAGGATTTATGGGGTGGAGACATCATAACCCAAACTCAAGAGCACTCAGTATGGAACCGAGGCGGGAAATTGTGTCAACGACAAGCTCAAGGTTAGCCCAACAAAGACAAAACAACAGCAACACGATACCTCATCATCCTCCTCGCGAATGGTGCGATCATCATCGTCGTCGTGGTCCCCGTTGGTCAAGCTAATGGTGGCCACCGAGGACTCCCGATCCCTGGCCACCGAGTTGCCACGCGAAGTCGGTGTGTGTGGCAACTGCTTGGCCAGCTGGAAGGCCTTGGTCAAGATGTTCTGGGAGGAGCGAGTGCGTCCCACCGATCCACATCTCTCCATGCTGTTCCGTTCGCGCTGTCGCTCGATCAGCGAGATGGTGTCGTAGTCATCAAATCCGGAACAGGTGCTCCCCGGTGTAGTGCAGCGACTGTCCGGTGCTCCGCCGCCTCTACCACTGCCGCTGGTCGTCCTACGCGTCCTTCTGCCCATGGCGGTCCACTCCTCCTGGACATGGTCAGTGCGCTTCAGGAAGTTCTGAATCTTCTCACTGAGATAGGCGGACGACGTGCGTGGATCCTCAAAGGACGGCGAGGCACGCATCGACTGGTGCACCGGCTGGCGCTGGCATCCAAGGACAAACGACAGGTTGCCATCGAAGACCACGGGTGAACTCTCCAGCTGCCGCATCTCGTACGGATCCACTCCGCCCGATCCTCGGGTGTAGGTCTGCGGGAATATCCTTCGCGGCGGCGTTTGCAGGCGCGAGCTGGACTGGTAGTTGGAAATTGAGGACTGGGTGGAACATCGTGAGGACACTGAATAGGCAGGGCTGGGCGAACGGTTGACCAGACGCAGCCGATCGCTGTCCGCTCCTGTGGGCGAGTTGAGTGGCAGTTTCAGCGAGATCTCGTACGGGCTTTCAGAGTCCTCCGGGGGAACGTTCTTATTACCCAGCAGGGATGACGATGAAAGCGACGAGCTGCCTCCACTGCCACCCGTGGTCCGTGAAGTATATTTGTGGAGGATGCTGCTACTACTAGTGTTTGTTGTGTTGGAGGTGGTGGTGTTGTTGGTTTTGATGTGATGGTTCTGTGTGGATCGGGTGGTGTGGCCATTGCTCAGCACGGGACTCTGCTCTCGTTGCTTGGGCAGCAGGCGGATCTGCTTCCGCGCCTGGCTGGTCGGCGGCTTGGGAGGTCTGGACAATGAGACGGAGCCACTCTGGGTGGAGTTTAACGAGGAGCCGCTGCTATTGTTGGTGGAGCCAAGGGCTCCCAGTCGGGGGCCACCGTTCATGGCTGCCAGCACGCGGGCGAGGAACTTCTCCTTCTCCAATCGGTCCGATGCTACAGGCCCAGCATCCGCATCTGCATCTCCCGAAGCTGCAATGTCAGCAGTGGCCTCATTAGCAGGCGACAGGGGAGCCATGGGCTCGGATTAGTGGCAAGCGGGGAAGAGGAATGGGTTAAGGGGAGTTGGATATAAGGGTTTTTTGGGGACTAAGGATTAAGGGGTTTGCGGTGGTAGAGGTGATGGCTCGGGTATTTGTTTCTGTGCAAGTTTCCTTGGCCAATTTCTGTCGAATTCTTTTTCTTTTTAGTTCGCAAAATTTCGAAATTTCTGTGTCGTTTTGTCGTGGTTCGTTATATCAATCGAGTTGGTTTTTGGTGTCGTTTGTTTTTAGTTCTTGTTATTTTTTTTTTTTTGTTTGTTTGTGGTATTGCTGGGTATTATATATGGGGACTATGCTAGGGGCTGTCAAAAACTTGAGACCGTTGATGCAATTTAAATTTATCTCGGGCTGAATTTTTATGTGACTTGTGCACGCGCCAGCAGATTTTCCTTTGTTTTCGCCGGGCTTTTATTGCTTTTGGCAGCAAATCTCACATACACGCACGGCAAGGAAACAACGAATCGAGATGGGATCGGATCAGATCGGATCGGATCGCATCGAATCTCCCGGACACGGCGCCACGGGCCTCAGGCGTACGCGACGTTTTCTCGGCGACTAAGCGATGCGTACGGACGGATTTTGCTTCGGTGCTGGCCAGAAAGCGGAAAAAGCTCCTCACTTTTTGCCAAAAACCCACGAGAGACAGAGCGAGAGTGAGAGAAAGAGAGGAATTGCAAAGAGCCGGAGAGGCGCCATCGAGCCAAGTCAATTGCAACATCGGCAGCAGTTCCGCCTATCACATAATCTATGGTCCCACGGTCGCCCGCCCTGCTTTCGGCCAACTGTTGATCCAATAATTTGGCAATCATCGGTGGGGGATCTTGAGAATTATGTAAATCGAACCGAGGCAGGGCAGTCGCAGATTCTATCGCATATCCCGTCCCAGCTGCAACTCAACTGTAGCGCGACAAAGTATTATTAATGATCTTTTAGAGCATTTAAAAATACATCTGGCTATTCTGGCGAACGATATGTGCGAAACACTGCCGTACGCAGCATCCACATCGCATCCCATCTATCTCTCCATACATACATATACACACTCTCAGAGTCAGAGTCAGTTGGTGTTCAATGCCCAAAGTGCTATTTTTGGACCACTTTAAAAAAGCAAATAATACAAATGGAAAACCACCAGCAAATTGTGCATCTCTCGTACATCTTACCGAGTGAAATTGTAAACGATCTTTAAACTTATTAGAAGATTCAACTGATTATCTTTGATTAAACAAACAGTGCTATTGAGAAAGTCTCAATCAGGCTTTAAAAACGTTGATGTAATAAAAGAACATATGGTACGAATATGTTGAAAGTCTTTTCAAGCAGATGAAGATTAATATTTGGCACTTTTAAATGCATTTCTCATTTGCCTTAGCTTTCAATGAATACATTCTGTAACTTATGCTTCTTTAAGTTGAAACCAAATTATAATAGCAATTTTTGGCATAGTAAATGATGAAATTTTCTTGATATCAAGCTAAACTGGTTTCTCTTCTTGTGTAGCAATCACCACTGCAATACAATCTAAATATATGAGGCATTTTGTTTCTGTACCCGCAATGGTTAAATCTTTTGGCGCCCCAGATATCTGAGCGCTGCCAACGCCAAACAAGATCACGCAGATGACATTTCATGTCAAGTGGTGCAATTTTAATTGCAGACCACGCCAGACCAGACAGTGGTCCATCAGATGAAAAGTTGACTCACCTTGGCTTCCAGCTTCTGGTTCTCCGCCTTGACCTCACTGCGATCGCACTCGATCTTCTCCAGCTTGGCTCGCAGCATTAGCAGCTCCTCGTTGGCCGTCTTCAGCTGCTCTTCGGTGCGATGGACGTTCAGCAGAGGCGTCACCCGGACCAGGAGACGCCACCAGGGCCAGTCGCGAACGGCGAGGAAAGCCTTCACATTGCGTTGAATGCAACGCACAGCCAATTCCTGGGGGTTTTTATAGAAATTTATTAGGAGGATGGTTTTAGAGAGGATAGCCTTGGGAATAGTTACCTGAACACGTCGCTGGGACATCTTTTTGCGGGCCAAATAGCCGCGACAAAAGGCTTGCAGCTGAATAATGCGATCAGAAAGCAGGACATCGCGCTTGGCTTCCAGTTCACTAAGAACTCCCGAGCGGAAGAGGATCTGAAAGGAGCAGGCAAAAGATTTAAAGATTAGTTATAATTTCTGGATAATTCGTTTTTCTTTTTCCCTGAATTATATACATCTTCATTCAGGTGTCAGGTGCACAATCTTCAGCGAACTCAACCCTAGAAGCAAAGCATAACGTAAGAAATCAACAACAATGAAAACAAATCAAATCAATTCTAGGAAGTGAAGGTCAAGGTGGAACTGACTTGCAAATGAAGATTGAGATTAATGCAGCGGCATCGGAAGAAACATCCAGAGCATGAGCTATGGCGATTTAAATTTTGAACACCTGTGCGCAAAAAAAAGATGCCAAAGCTCTTACAGGTGTGAAAGTGGGAAGAGGCCAACGAAAATGAAATTGTAAACAAGATATTGCCATAAAGCCAGGCCCCAGCGGGAGTCGAGTGGAATGGTGCCCTCCTAATGGCGGTTCATGCAGGTGGAAATGCACATACTCGAGTGAGTATCTGTGGCAAAGGTGTTTAGCATACTTAGGGCCACCGGGTTCCCATACAAATTAGCTGCTGGCCCGACGCACCTTCGAGGTGTGGCCCCCATCTCTCTCTCTCTCTCTCTCTCTGTCAACGCCGAATTCGCGACTAAGTCGAGAAACTATTTTCTCGAAATTTTAATTATGCCCGGCACGTAGACAAAAATGAAAGTAAACCAATGTGAAATGGCAAACCGAAGCGTCGCATCGAGAGTTTGTGTGGCTCAGTCATCGCAAACTGGCGGCTGGATGCACCGACTCTCGGATATGACCAATGGGATAATAAAGGGAGTGCCAGGTATCCAGCAAATTGGAAACAAATATCATCAACTGAAGTGCGTCTCGGGAGCAAATGAATCTGTATGTCCAAACTACCTACTAAAACAAATAAAAACTAAATGTTGACGAGCTTACAACTTGGAGAAAGCGCGGATACTCATTGAACTTTGTCATCAGACATTATTTGATCTCAGATGATCAGCGAATAATAACGTTTTCAAACGATATTTTACATTAAATTGTAGATACAATATACATATATTATAAGTAATAAATATAGAAATAAATTACTGATTTGCAAATGGTTAAATAATATTAAATGTAGCTCAACAAGTCCTATTAATATAATTACTCTTTATTAGCATACCGCAATAAATAAGTAAAAACCTCATAAAACTTGACCATTGCTCTTTTCGTTATTAGTATTATATATTAAAGATAATAAATTAGAATTACAGTATTATAATTGAATCGGTTTTAAGGGGTTATAGCCAGCGCGTGGAGCTAATTTTCATTGACCATTGGGCACTCAGACTACCTTATGTACGGGATGTTTTCAAACGAAAAACCAAATAAAATAGCTAAGATTTATCTAATATACAGAAATTGTAACATTTATCAGGCGGAAAAGCGTACTTTACGTAAGTGAATAACTAAATAATTATTCACAGAGTTCGTAATCGACATAATTAAAAAAAAATTATATACTGAGTCAAGGTTAATCAACTCAAACAACTGTTTTGTAAATCTGACTGACAAAAACATGATTCCCCTTAGGTAAACATATTACAGGAAACCAGATGTTAAATGCTTCAGATATAGGAAGATCGGGTAAAAATACAACTAAAGCGGTAGAGGTAGAGGAAAGGGATAGTGCCAGTCAGAGGAGAGGAGGAAAGATAAACCCATAGCAAGTGGTTTTGTACAATAAATATTTATTCCATTTACAGCAAATGTTAGATAAGTTAGATATAGATAGAGGCAAACCAGTGGTGGAAGCAGCTGAGAGTTAAGATTGGAGTGGCTGGGGAGGATCGGAAGCGGGCCCGGATCTGCCGCTGCCTGGTCAATGCAGCTGCATAGTTACCTCTTTTGTGTAGGTGGGGTAGATCTCCACCTGGGTCTGGATGCATCGCACCGCTTGTACTTGGGCCACCACCTTGCTGGCCATCACCGTTGGGCAGTGGTTGTGCGGTGCGGTGGCTGTGTTCTGCTTTCCAGCCAACGCTGCAGCCTCGAACTTCTGGAGCAGCTCGGCGATCTTGTTGGACTTGGAGCAGTTCTTTGCTTCCGGAGGCACCACCTGCTCCTCCGCCTCATCGCCCTCGGATTCGCAGAGGCTTCCAGTGGAGTTACTGGTGGAGGAGGTGGATGTGGATAGCTGCGTATTGCTTATGTGTCCCGAGTCATCAGAGTCTTCTTCCTGCTCCGCCCTGATTTCCTTGGTCGGCTTCTTGAGAGGTGCCTGAGTTGGAGTCTTCACCTCCTGCACCACCTTGACGAGTAGCTCCTGGTTTTTGTCAGATGTCTCGCCCAGTTTGGGGGGTATTATCTTGCAGGACTCCAGCTTGGGTCTGCCCACCTTCTCCTCATTGGCGTATTGGAGCTTTTGAAGCTTCTTCTTATTCCTCACGAGCTGCGAATGCTCCTTGGTGACGCCCCGACTGCCAGTCCTCTTGGGCTTTGAGCTCATGCTCTCTACTTGTCGCAGGATCTCTTGACCCTTGGCCAGGCACTTGACCAGCAGCTCATCACTATTCGCATTTGGAGACTTTGATTTCAAGCCACCTGCCTTCAGGGTGGAGTTGGCTCTCCTGGCTGCTGGTCTGGCGGTTACTTGGCGCTGCTCCAGACTGGAGTTGGCCCGCTTCGGCATGCTTACATGGGCTGAAGCTGGAGTTGGAGCTGGTGCTCTTGGAGGACGTGCTACTGTGTTTAGGGTCAGCATGGAGCGTGTGCGCTGCTTAGTGGTCGGTTTCAGGGTCACAGGTTGCTCCAGGCAGAAACTCTCGCTGCGTTTGCGGAGACTCGACTGCTTTCGCACCGGAATCCTGCTGCCGCTTAGGTCGCTCAAGGAATTGTAACGCGAGTCACCTCCTGCGCCACGTAGCAATAGGATTGAGCCTGCCAGTTCTGGCGACTGATAGAGCTGCATCCTGTTCCTCCCTATGCTCAGGGTGCTGTGTGACTTGGCCAACATCATGGGCTGACGATCGCAGAACTCCGCCGGCGGAGCGGGCAACTCTTCTGCCGGAACCAACGGAATCCCCTCCAGTGGCGGGTACTCATTGAGTATATGATCGAAGCTCTGGAGCACCTCGTTCAACTTGCTCTCGTCATGAGCCACCTTCTCCAACTCTGCGAATATCTCGTCCTCCAACGACTGCTGGGCCAGACTCAAACTCAGGCTCAAATGGCTCTCTTCGTCGCTGTCCACGTAGCTGCACACACTGCTGGTCATCTGCTGGTTGGACATCTGGAGGGGCGCAACAGGAATCACTGGCACTCCTTTGGGCGTGTACTTGCCGCCCACACAGCCTCCGTCTACTGTGCACAAGGCACTCATGGATCTGGTGTGCTTGCTGCCCTTGTAGTACAGCTTTCCACTCAACTTGGGCGTCAGATTGTCCTCGATCTTGTGGCGAATATGCGAAAAGAACTTCTTCCCTGCACCCAATCCATGTTTGTTTGGGGCGTGGGTGGGCGTGGCTGCCACAGCAGGCGAAGGACTGCTGCGCACTTGGGCCAGTTTGGACTTGACCGTGTGCTTGTACATTGCCCTGGGATTATGTAAAGCAATTGACCAGCGACTGGCGGCGGTATGGCGAGTAAAAGTGCATATAATTTCGCAATAAATTGCAGTTTCCTTTTCAATGTCCACTGTCCACTGTCCAATGTCTACTGTCCAGCACTTTCACGGCTCGGCTCGGCTCGGGCGGCGGCGGCAACTCTTGTGTGGATGTGGTATGGTGTTTTCTCTTCGGGCTCGGCAACGCAACTGAACTGAACTGGCTAGCTGGCCAAAGCGACGGAGTCCAAGTCCAAGCCAAATGCTGGCTCTGCATTCGAAAGTGGCTTATCGAGAAACGGCTGGCAGCACAGCATAACCCAACACACAGCACAGCACAACACAACACAAAACAGACTTGGCTGAGGTCGCGGTCGCTGGTAATTGGTCGAGGGAAAGGGGCACCGAGTGAATGCACCATCCGCCGATCCTCAAGTTGGAGCGACGATGCTAATTACCAGCCACCAGCCATTGGCCACACATGCTCGACCTGCAGTTACCCAGCATAATCATCCCACCATCATCATGAGCATGATGATCATCATCATTGCAGTCAAGGCAATCACAAGCGAAACAAGTGAGGCAATAGGCTAGGTCTGGAACACTGCCCTGGCTATTTGTGTTTCCATTTTGCCTTTTCATTGCCAGCAATTGGACTCGCCCTGGCTGCCGCACAAAAGATTCAAAGGGATTCAGCCATGGATGGGCATGGCAAAAGTGCCATGTTCATTGGGGACAAACAAATATTGGTATAGGCTGCGAGTGTAAGCAATGTGGTCTAGACTTTAGAGGTTGCAACACGGTTGAAAGGTCATTAACCAGAACGTGTTCTATGCAACATGGGTTAGGCACACAATGTAATGGTCAGTAAATTACAGAAAATATATATATTGATCTCACTGAACATGGTCATGTTCGAGGCTTAAGCAGTATAGAAATATATAAAATAGGCAGTTAATCTGCACGTGACTTATAAAATCAGTTATCTAAAATTAATTAGGCCATCGCCCCGCAACCTTAATAAAATCTATAATAGCTATGCAATTTCACAAGACAATTATACGTTATGCCACATTTAAAGATCAGGAAATCCTTGTAGATGAACCTCATTATCTAGCTCGTGACAGAGAATCCGCTGTAACGATGTCATTGGGGCTTCCCTGTTGCTGTACCCTTCGTGGCCACAAATTGAGGCAATTACAAGAAAACCGAAAACCGATGAAAACAAGTCCGACCAAGAAGTCGATGATGAGATTACAGTGCCGAGCAAAACGCATCTCACGCAGCTTCCTGGTTATTGTTTCATAATTAAAAACTAGTTTACATATGCAGGGCTCGTCCCGTGGGCTCGGAGATTAAAGCCACTAAAGACGCCAGCCGCGCCCCCTTCCACGGGGAGGCGTTAATGAAGTTTTCGTGTCTCGATAGCGGAGTCTTTGTTTCCACACACTTCAACTCGATCTTGGGAGAGCTAATTTGGAGTTGATTTGGGAGGTAGTTTCACCCTCTGCCCCGTCCCGATGGCGTTGACAGAACCCGCCTCGGAGCTGGTTATGTAATCACACAGCCACACACTCTCGGAAACCAGACAACCATCAGCCACCGAGGCGTTTGTGTGCCACTCCCCCTGGCATTTCTAATGAAAGCGAACGCTGGAAGTTTCACTTTGGTCGGAGGAAAAAAACTTTAATGTGCACTGGTCAAATGTGGTTTCTGTGCGAGGCGAATGCAGGTTGCAACGTCATTTTGGATTTTTGTTTTGCTCGCTGTTTTTTCGTTATTTTTTTTTGGTGAAAGTCGCCAACGTTGGCTATGCGTGTGTTTGTAATCATAATCGGAGGGGAATCGGTATTGGTTTCGGATTCGGATTTGGACACTTTCCCGTACGTACAAGCCAGAGGCCGACAATGGCACAGCAAGCACTAGCGATAGCCAGTAGACCAGCCAGGACTGGACCGCCACAGAGCTGCCTGAATAGGCTCAGGAGCTGATCACTGTCGCCGGATGATCGGATAGCACTGGCACTGGCATTGCCGTTGCTCCATGGCAGGCAGACGGAGCTTTTATCCGACCACATCTCGTCGAGAGCTCGCGAAATCCAACTGAGCTGCGCAGAGAAGACGCCGTCCGTCTTCTTTGCCGCAGATTACATCGGGGGAATTCTACACTCGAGCCAGGCAGCCAGGCAGCCAGCCAGCAACAATGGCGAGATGAACTTGACCGTGAAAGCAGCCAGCGTCATCGCAGATACAGATACAGATACAAGGCGGAGGAAGAGCCGCAGTGGGTAGAGAACGGGCAAACTGGACTGGCTGCCAGTGACGTCAAGTAGTGGCTTTATTACGATCACTTCACCGTCCACCGACCACTGACCATCGAGCCCCTGGGCCAGCCGGTGCCCAGAAGCACAGTTCGATTCACAGTTGCAGCGATGAGAACAGGAAATAAGAAGCCCAGGCGACCAGCCAAGCGGAGAAGCCAGGGAAGCTGCATGTAACTGATATCTTCCCATGGGTCCCAACCACACCCGCGTCCAATGTTATAGAGCCTGCCCATCAGGCACTGGTCATTGATGAATTATTGAATTCGGAACGATTATAGATCACTTTAAAATTATCCCAGGAAAAGTAAAAGTGAATTAATTAATATATTAATCCGAAAGTTTTTATGATTATGAACTAAACAAAAGATATAAACTGCTTCAGTCAAAAAAATTGCCTTATATTTCTTTTAAGTTCATTTGTATTTACTTTTTACTTTACTTTTTGTTTGTCAAATTCTGTATTTTATAAATATCGGGTTCAACACCCTTTAATTATTATAATTTGTATGTATTTATTTTTTGGGAAGAAAGATTTAGAATGATAATTCATTTCTTCGTATATCAGAACAATAAAAGAAACCCACTTCGGGCAGTCGAAGTTTATATACTCTTGCAGTTTGTAGCTGAATTATACGATAGAATAGGAAATCGGTCATAACTAATCTTAAAAAATTCGAGTTGAATTAAGTTTGAATCGTTATCTAGTGATATTTTGATCTGACAATTCAAAATTTAAAAAACTCATAACTAAGCCAAAAGCACTAAATTTAATTCAGAAAGCTTGCTGTGTTAGATTTTAATAGGATTATAAATCTGCATACTAAATTTGACATTTTAAAAAATAAAAAAATTGTAAAATTTTTGCCAATTTTAATGATGTAACCCCTTATAAAACTTGGAAATTTAAAAAAAAATTCGAAAATTTAATTTTTGACCGAACATGGCCAGATCGATTCGGCAGCTAATTCTGATCAAGAATACATATGACTTATAAGGTCGGAAATGACTTCTTTACGGTGTTTGAAGCCTGTGACTCAAATAATAATACCCTAAAGGGTATAAAAAGTTATGAATTAATTATGCCGGTTTACGATGAATTTCATTCAAATGGTTTTGCATACTTTTGGAAATTTAAAAAAGAAATCCGATTTAAATATGTCGTGGCCATTTGAGTAACAATAAAGTAATAGGTGACATTAAATGTTTTTCGTAAATTAGTAGAAGCAATAATAATTTACACCATTCGAAGAAGAAGCCAAAAATTCCTCACGATTCACGACACACACGACAAAAGATAAAGTGAACAGAAATACACATAAATAAGTTTCCCACAAGATTCATTAAGTTTTCCTTTTAGCACATGCCCACGAATAATTCGCCATGTGTAAGTTTTCGCTAAAAATGTCTCACTTACGAAATCGTTCTATAAAAAATACGTGAATTTCCCGTTCTGAGCTTTACGACTTCGCAGGGAAGTAACGTCCCAACATTAACGTGAATTGATCTTAATTTTCAGCATAAATTAAGCAAAAGCTTTAATATATTCTAATTCGATTAGAGACTGAAGAAAGAAGCATTTGGCATTTTGGTGAAAGACTCTAAGAAGAATCGGCCCATAAATTCGTTAAGTCATGCTTACTTGGTTTGGGCCTAAAAATGCTGGCGGTGAGTAACCAGTTTGAGACTTCCTCCTAAGGTGCACGCTGCTGTGGACTCATCTAGAAAGGGATCTCGCGTTGATTGAGAGGTGGCCATTTAATATAATAATTGCAGGGTAAGCCCCAGCCAATGAATGAAAGTATCCTGACGAGCCGGCGATTGTTCGTCGCATGCCAAAAGCAATTACGTGAGGCTGAGGCCAGAAAAAACGTTTCAATACCTGGCGAATGACAGCCGACGAATTCCAAGGTAATTTCTCGATTAGATTGAAAGTAACAGCAAATTGTTTGGACAAATACACGGAACAATGGAGACGACGGGTTTCGTTTCGTTGCGTTTGAGATGATCATAATAACAATAAGTCCGTATTATGTATTTGCCTTAAAACGTAAATCCTGTCAATAAACTTTTTGTAACAAGTCGTCGCGAGGCACTCGCCCGGGTTTAACGATCTCGAAAAAAAATATCTACATATCTACATGTTAACATGAGCATGAATGGGGCTTAAGCAAAAAAAAAAAGAAGCCAGAGATCAGGCATTTAAGCCACAAAACTCAACCAAATACCTGCTAAATGCTTTTGAAAACAGCCGAAATCTCTGAACTGAACCCTAACCCAGTTGGAGATCTTTTAACCCAGTCAGTTTACCTCACGGGGCTCAAGCGGGAAGTGGACAAGTGCCAAATTCTAAGAGGAGATTAACGACTCGAAACTTTCTGTTTACAGACCTAGTTTATCAAGCCAACTAATTGGAATTTGGAACCTGAATCGGCTAGGTGCCACAAATATAAGTGCTTGATCAAATAATAAACACTCGTTGCGAATTAGATATTATTCACATTCATATAATTGCTGATAATTTCTGTAATACTTGCTACTAATCCGTGCAATTATTTAATTAAATAAATCTAAAACATCAAGACGTAATGGCAATCCCTTTTGAATGACAGCTCACTGGATGGACTCAACGCTCGATAACCTTCCACTTAATATTAATGATACCGAGGGCTAACTTATATAAGAAAGTAGCGACGAAATGATCAACCAACTCAGGAGACGATCAGATGTTAACCCGAAACTGTAAATCAACGAAAGATATGCGTGTCCATTATTATTTATAAATATAAATAGTATACATAATCAACGCATAAATAAATAAATTAAAGTGTCTCAGTGATATAGCCTATTGACCCGCCGATCGGTTGACGACTGTCTGAATTGATTTGGTGAAATCGGCATAGGTTCTAGAGGGAGCTTCCCCTTTTATTTACAACCCCGTGGAGTGTTTGCCGACACTTAGTTCGGCTTTCTGCCACTGCAGTTGCCGCAACTTGTTGACTGCAGTGGCCACTTGGCGGCTGTGCTGGCTGTGCTGGCTGCCGCTCCAACCAGTTAATGGTCATTCATCATGACAGTGACCGCTCTGCTGGCGCTGTCGCTGCTATAGCTGGGCCGCTTCTGCTGGGGGACGCCCTTGCCTTGCCGCTCGCCGGCGGCAGAGACAGAACGCAGCGCGCTTTATTTAAACAAGCCTCCGTCTAGAATCTTGCAATACTTCGGCGTGGAGCTTGTAACGATTCGGAGGTGTCCGTCCCAGCTCAGCTTAGCTCAGCTCTGCTCCGCTCAGAAATATCGCGTTCTTTTAGTGAGCGGTGCAAACGTGCCAGTGATAAAATTTGGATCGTGAATTGAGACAGAGAATCGAAAAACAACAGAACACCTTAAATCGCACTTAAGTGGATTTTAATTGACGCCTTGTCGCGAATTGTCATCGAGTGTTTTGGGATTGCCTCCAGCGTTTTATGGGATCGTTAGCGGGAATGCATATATTACGGGGCTGGATCAGCCTTATGCTGCTGCTCGGCACAGGGGAAAGTAAGTTCTGATCCCATTCCCCATCCCGAACCAATATAAATGTTCGATCTGCAAGTGTCATTCCCTCTGCTCCTGCTCTTTCAGTGCTCGTCTCTGGCCAATATTTCGCTTACGCACCTGGTAAGTGCGAGCTTACCAAATCAAATGTAATCGAGAGCATGTTCACAACGGAGCTGAGCATCATCCTGCATACGCAACCCAAGCTGCTCCACTACGACCTTTACACTCCTCTTAATCCGGAAGAGCGGCAGTTACTACGGCCAGGAGATCTCGGCATGCTGAAGAACTCACACTTCAATCCAAAATGGCCAGTGAGGTAAGGATACTTTCGACAATAATTTATCCCATTCTACAGACCATGTATTATTGATATATAAGAAGTGTGATGATTAAATTATAAATGCATGTAATATTTACGGTCTATTCTTCTATGAAATATTTGAGTTTTAATTGTCAGTCAGGATAAAAATATGCAAATCCAATCAATGATTTACTTTTTGTTTTCTACATTTCCCACTTTCTCAGGATACTCATTCATGGCTGGGCAGGCACTAGCACAACCTGCTCGAATGCAGTCATCAAGGATGCCTACTTATCCCGCGGCAATTACAATGTCATCATCCTGGACTGGAGTCGCCAGGCGATGGACATCAATTATGCACGTGTGTCCAAGCAACTGGCTTCGATAGCCGGCAACGTGGCCAAGTTGCTGCGGTTTCTACATGACAACACAGGGGTTCCCTACGAGCAAATCTATTTGGTGGGTCACAGCGCCGGCAGTCACATCTCTGGACTGACGGGAAAGATGATGAAACCCTACCGCCTGGGCGCCATCTTCGCCCTAGACCCCGCTGGGCTTACTCAACTAAGTCTGGGACCGGAGGACCGACTAACCAACGACGACGCCCTGTATGTGGAATCAATCCATACGGATCTGACGCTTCTGGGCAATCCCAGCACTAAGCTCAGCCAGGCGTCCTTCTTTGTCAACTGGGGCCTGGGACAGCCGCACTGTCCGAACGCCACGGCCACGGAATTCGACTTTGTGTGCGACCACTATGCAGCCGTGTTCTACTTCGCCGAGTCAGTGCGTCGCCCCAAGTCGTTTGCCGCCGTGCGGTGCAGCTCGGTGCAGGCACTGCGCTCAGCCACCTGCAGGTGCAACACCGGCGGTGGCACCCAGATATGCACCGGCGACGGGTTCATGGGCGGTGAGCCGGCGGTGCCAAAGCGAGGTATCTTCTATCTGAGCACAAGACAACGATCTCCGTATGGCACCGGCGATGGCCTGGTCTACATCCGTCGACCGATACCGTCCACTATTGGGGAGACGGCGAAGAGACGTCGACGGCTGGGGTAGCAAGTAATGCGAGTTGCGACTAACCAAAAAGTGATTTATCTACATTTTAACGAATAGCCATTAAGTCCTAGCCATTTAGCCCAAAGAATGCGAATAAAGCAAAGTGATTTCGTACAAAGAATAAATTAGTTTTCAGTTGAAAACCGAATTTCTTGTTAGTTCCTAAGAAAAAGGGAAGCACAAGACTTTACCACGTCTCTTATCATTACAAAAATCACAAATTTAGCCACGAAATGAAACCAAAGCATTCCCCAAACCCAATCCGCTCCTTGATCAATTTCAGCTCTCGATTAGGTTGCCCTTCTTGGCACAGTAACTATTGAACGTGCTAATGTCAATGTCAACTCATCGGCGGTTTAATTGACTAATTACGCGTGAGTAAAAACAATTAGTTGGGAGTTGCCTTCAAAAAATAATGATTAATCTTTTAGGAACGTGAGAGTGAAGAAATATCAACTTTACAGTGGCACAAAACAACAGAGGCTTCGCCTCAATCAAACTGGTTCAACGACTCTGGTAATTGCAAAATTAAATATTATATATCAACAAATATTTGGCTGAAAACCTGTCGCCGCCTATTCTATTAGAATGCATAAAAAAGAGCTATCAGCGCACGCAATTCGAATCTCTGGCAATTGCATCTTATTAAATAAATTACGTATTTTATTAAAATAAATGAATTAAGTTGAGATTAAACCTATTAACGAGCCAAGTCTTTACGAAGTAATATAGAAATATATTGATTTTTTGTCTATATTTCAAGTAAAGACCGATATGGAGCAAAGCTTGAGCAATCAAATTCCATTTTCCAGAACCGTCTACGGGTGTTGGGTTTGAAATTTTAAAAATATACATAAATGGAAAATGTAAGGCCTACTGGTCTATTCTTCTTATTTTACTTATCTATTTATGGATGCGGATTCAAACACTATAGTTGTCTTTCTATATGTGACCGACTTCTAGAATGTATTCTATGAGTGCAACTATAGTTCGTTTTGATCCTCTTATTGTTTACTAGATAAATATAATTTAAAATTTCTGAACTCACCTGACTAGGTCCAATGCGATATGTAGCCACATCCAGCTCATTGACAGCCAATATCTGTTCCACGCTCACATCCTTATTGCTGGCCAAATCGCCAGCCAACAGACCAAAGCGGCGAACAAACTCCAATAATGGCACAGATTCGGGAAAACCAAGACGATGCAGACGAGCCGCTTCCAGGACTTGCGAGCCACGTAGCTGTTAAAGAGAGAAAAGACGAATGAGTGAAAACGCTCAGTCTTGATTTTCGCAAATGCCTTTGCTTAGAGCTCTCACCTGACTCCTTAATAGTGGCACATTGACCATTTCCTCCTCACTGGTCGCCTGCCCGACAGCTGAACTTGGAGACCCATTTGCCGTGAACTTGGTGTGCTTGCCGGCATTGTGTTGCAGCAGATAACAGTGGACAAAGTGAGTGCCGGTGCGACGTAGCGTATCGATGATGCCGTCCACAGTGAACTTCACCTGCAGCATAATGGAGTTACGCTTCACGCCAGCCGTAGTGAAGGATCGTCGTATACTGGACACACGACGCAGGGACTGGGTGCCCTCCAAGCCGGCAAAGGAGCCGCAGAATACCATTGCCCCTGACCCTCGGGTAAGTGAGCCAATGTACAAACGATTGATCTCCTCCCTACTGCTGTCCTGCAGCAGTGACACAGCATTTCGAATGCCAGGATGTTCACGACTGTTGCGCACCCAGCCATCCACAGCGTACAGGACGGGATTGGTGCCTTGCAGGTGGTGGAGTACAAACTGGCGAGGACCGGCGCACTTGCGCAGCAGCGTGTGATGCTCTCGATCACCGTAATGCGAGAACAAGCGCTCGAGGAATGTATCATCGTTGGAGTGCGGGTAGATAGCTTCTTCGTCGAGTAACCTAAAAAAAGGGAGAATCAACAACAGTTCCACTCCAAGGTTGAATTTAAACCTACCATAGCATTCCGCGACGATCGTGTTCACGTAAATCTCGTTGCGACGAGCGGACTACGTGGTTTTGGGGCGCCTTGTCGATCAGAGAGATCAGGGGTCCAGGATGACACTCCGAGGCCTGATCCATCTCAATTTCCACTAGCTCCTGGGCGTATCGGTCGCGTGGGGCCACAAGTGTGGTGTGATGGAAGAGCATTTGCAGGCGCTCCTGCAGGTAGTTGTGACGCAAGTCCGCCAGCGTGGCGCCCACCTGCTGGCCACAGCTGGCCGGGTTCTGGAAGCCGGGCGTGTCGATTAGCATAATCGAGGCTATGGTGTGGGCCGAGGTGCAAATCTGTCGATTGATCAAAGCCACCACTGCAGCCAGGGCCTCAGAGTAAAGGCCAATGACCAGCGCCTCCAAGCACTCCCATGCCCACTCGTGGCCAGTGTCCGAAGTGGGCGACTTCGATGGACTCAGGCCGCCGTTGGGGGCATTTGGCTGAGTTAATCCAAAAGCAGCCGATGACAGATCCTCCAGGTTTACGCCCAACAGACCCGCAGCCTTGCGGGCGGCCGTGGGATTGGCAAATTGCGTGCGGGCTGTGGATCCAGTTCCAAGCTTGGTGACACCCGCAATGCCCAAATGGTAAATGGCAGCCAGAATGCTCCAGATTCCACGGACAGCCTTTGCATCAATGTTGAGCGATTCGAAGGCCTGAACGGTGCGCATAAAGTCGTTGGCTGCTCGGTGGCGATCTTCCAACTTCTGGGAAAGCGATATGAACGGATGGCTGTCCTCCGAAGAGATGTTCTCCAGGTGCAGCTCTTTTTGCAGCAATCCAGCGGCGCCAGCAAGCAGGCGTGTCATGATGTGGAAACTGTGCTCGTGGGCCAAACGTCGACCGGCTCGCTGTCGCTCTGGGAGCAGAACCTGAAAGGATCCCAAAGTATGAGCAGAAGTCTAAGCCTGGAATTTGATTCGGACTCACCTGTAGCGAGGCGGATGCAATCTGTCCAGTCTGGTCAAAGTCAAGACTCAACAGCTGCGTCATTCGCGTAGCGTTCGAATTGAGGCAAGTTCTCGTATTTCCAAAGGCCTCCAGAATCGTGCACAGGGCATTGACCTTCTCTGCATTTATAAAGTTGTTATAGGCACCTAAAATCAGAGAATATAAATTGAATAAGATGGTTGTTTTGATTTCTTTTTAGCTCGATTGTCTCTTGAGAAACATCTGTTGGCAGAATTAAATGAACTAAGAAAGGAATTTTTGAGGGGGCATATCATTATATTTCTTTAGTTCAACAAAAATCATATATATATTCCGCTTATTAAACCCTTGCAGAGTATTATAATTTTTGTGTAAAGCTTTTAACGCAGATATCTTTAACAAAAAGAGAATGATTCTTTTACTTTCATTATGATAAACCGTAGGGTTTATAATATTTAAATATGTTTTGCTTCGTCAAACGATTTAAAAATATCTTTTTTGTGGAATTAATAATAATATGATTTAAATTTCCAAGTCTCAAACTCTGCATAATTTTGTTCGGCAATATGTGTTGGGTAATCGAGTTGAATATCAATAATATTTATCTGGGCAATTTACATTTTCCCTGATACCGTCAGTTCCCCTTTTTGGGTCATAAATCTAACAATGAAACCGAATTGGAGGCTTGACTAATTGCAGCTGCATTTCTTGGCCAACAATGCAAATGAGACAATCGAACGCAGATTGCATTTTGGTGTGGCACCGCACAAACTGGGCCAGCAGCCAGCAGCCCGCAGCCTACGGCCAAAAGGAAAACACAAAATGTAAACAAAAAATGTAACTGCAGCAGCTCCAGTGCTCCTACGAGCAGCTACATCGAATGGGGCTAGACATACCAGCTGCCAACGCCAGGTAGTTGAGCGCATGCTTGAAGCTGGTGGATTTGCCAGAACCAGATCGGCCCATGAATATCAAGCTCTGGTCGCGCCGCGTCTCAACCAAGCTCCTGTAGGCGGTCTGGGCCAGCGAGTAGACGTGGGGCGGCATGTCCTCCGTCTTGCAGCCGCGGAACATGGAGACAACCTACGAACGGGAGACAGCAGCCGATAAATAACGCGCTCAGATGCAGATCTGGTTGCCAGACCAGTTACCTTCTCGGAGTAGAGGGACAGCGGTGCCATGGGATTGACCACGAGCAGCGTGGGCCCCGCCTTGGTGTGGATTAGATTGCTGGCGTAACGCTGACGCAGGCAGTGGAGCACCGACGCCTCGTTCAAATACTTCAGCTCGCAGATATCCTCGGCTAGGTCCAGGACGGGGCTATTCTGCTTCTCCACATCGTCCTCGTCGACGGTCAGCAACTCCCCGTTGTGCAGGAGCCGCAGATTCAGCTTGTGCTCCTCATCCCGGCCAGACGAGGGCGTTGGCAGACGGATGGCGGCAGTGAAGCCACCGCGATGCACCAGCCACACACGCTCCGGCTGACTGCCATCCGCCACATCCGCCTCCAGCTCATGGGACACTCCTTCTCCCGATTCGCCTCCTGCCCCTCCATTGCCTCCATTGCCATTCTCGTGGCGGCTCTGCAAAAAGATGGAAGACAAACAAACAAAACACGAAATTTGAGTTAAATTGGGGTCAACATTTTGTCGGCGCAACTTCAACTGAAGCAGCAGCGGCATCGAAGGCGGTGTGGGGTGCACATCGAGTTTATTTACGGATCTCGGCGTGGATCGGGAAACATTTTCACGCATTTATTCCATTTATTATCCCTACTCCACCGCCGCAGGCAGAAGCCAGAAGCCAGCAGGCGCAGAAGGCAGAGTTTCGGTTTATTTCGGGTGCATTTCTAAATTTGACGATGTTTCTAAATCCTAATTAGCCGCCTAGACGCGCCAAATGCTATTGGGCTAGACAGCCAAACCGACGACGACGCGGATGCGCCATTATGCAACCCACCAACGTCGCGTCGTCGCCAGCAGTTCACATTTGTGGCTATAAATGGCATTTAGCCGTAGCGGCAGCCTCCCAAGCTCACTAAGATCTCCTCCCTTCCTCTTGTAGCCTTCCTGCCTGCTCGCTAAGATCCCTCCCTGTATCTGCTCCTCCTCCTCCTCGTCCTCGCTGGTTCTTCTGCCGAATTATGAAAATATTGTGCAAGGTTCAATAGCCCTCAATTAAAAGTGCGTTACGGGGAAAGTGTGCGAGGGGAACTAATTAATTTTGTAGACATTGCGAGAGCCAGCGGTCTGGATAGAAGGAAATCGAATGTAGTCTTTCATTAGGCTCTTAGTCACTTTAGTTTTATGGGTCGTTTTGAAACGGTTGTTTACAGATTTGTAATTAAATGGCAGAGAGTGGGATATGAATTTCTAGCGTTAGTTTAACCTACATGATTTATGATGAAGGAGTTTTTAGGGTTAATTTTCTAAATGATTTATAATATATTAAATATCTTATGTAAGGAAAGATCTTTTGGCTTGGAATTAATCCCACTTTACAGATTCTTTAACTGAACATATTTCCCGTTCTTTGCAGTCTGGTAAACACTCGTAAAATAAATATAGTTTAAACGGCAGACACCCTTGAAATTCATTGTTCAAACGAAGTCGTTACTCCACTTAACTGTAACAACTGAGTTGTGTCTAGTTATTCGAGATTCATTTAACGCACTGGACCCGCTTAAAACGTTTCCAACTGGGGCACCGAGTTGTCTATTCACAGCCCGTGAACACACTCATCAATCGAGTGGAACTTGTTTGGAGGAATATTAAGATAAACAAAGTAGTTCCCCGGGCGCATGTCCACTGTCAATCAATGCCTGCACTCCACTGTACGACGAAGTCAACGAACCCGCAGCTGTTGATGATGATGAGCACACAAATTAGACGCAGAAGAGGTGGAGGCAGCACAGGCAGAGACATCAGAAGACCTGACTAATTAAGTTGGATAGCGGGTAGGATAGGCTGCGTACGATAGGATAAGATTGGAGCTTACCAAAAGCTACTTCTACTACCGTCTGGATATCATATCCAGCTATCTTTTATTGCATTATGCAACCCGACTCCACCAGAACTCTAGAGAGGCGGCCACGCCGCGTCGCTAACTCGGAGCTAAATGAACACTTCCGCTCGACGGCTTCGCAGGCGTATTGAGCCATAAAGCCATACCGCCATACCGCCATAAATGCAGCGACAAGAAGACGTAGACCGAACGAACCATGCCGTAAATTATGAGCTTCGCATTCGTCGGCCCACGCACCGTCGTCCGAGCATAATAATAAAAGGTCTAACAACTAAATCGTACATTGGGTCATGGTCTGGCGATCTATCGATCGATCGGTTCGTTTCCATCTTTCTTCGGCTGCCCACTGCCTGGGTTTGTCCATTCATTTGTTTCTTTATTCACCCATCGAAGTACTAGAAAGTTTTCGTTGGCTATCAACGCGCACAGAGCACTGGCTAACCTGGTGCGGAATCGTTCTTTTGGGAAAACTAAAGTATTTCTTTCAAAACTTAGCTATTAAGCTAGGGTTAGAAATATTATATACATTTATTTTGCTCAGAAAAGCAATATAAAAACAAATTTTCTATATTAAAGATATCATCCCAATCCAATACTATACCCTTGCAGGTTAGTTAAATAAAAGCTTGTAACGGCAGAAGGAGTCATTTCCGACCCTATAAATCATATATATTCTTTATCAGCACCATCAGCCGAGTGGCTCTACCCATGTCTAGTCAAAAAATACATTTTCAAATTTTTTTCAAAATTTCAGAGTCTTATATGGGGTTACATCGTTAAAATTGTCAAAAATTTATAAAAATTTTAATTTTTGAAAATGTTAAATTTAGTAAGCAGACTTATTAAGCTGTTAAAAAGTAATATAGAAAAACTTTCCGAATCAAAATTAATGCTCTTTTGGATAAGTTATGAGTTTTTTAAACTTTGATTTGTCGAACAAATTGTCATATAAAAATAAGAATTCAAAGAATGCATATATTTAAAACTAAGTTATGATCGATTTCCGATTCAATCCAACAAACTGCAAGGGCTTTCCGAAGTTAGTTTCTTTCTTTTTTTGTTAATATTAAATCCGATTTCCTATCGAAAACAAAACAATTCCCTGCAGCTTAGTGTTAGTAGTTCTTTGTGCGCACCTTTTGCTTTAGTATGGCATCGTAGTTTTTGTAGTTGGCGGCCAGGGAAGTGGCCCAAACGGCCGGCCATTGTAGGCCAATGTTCTGGGCATCGCGTCGTCGGCGGAACGAACTCCGTGCACTTGGATTGGGCGACTGGGGGGCATTGGCGGCAGCGGCGGCATACTTGGACGCAGCTACAGCGGAACTGTTCCACGGCGGACGTATCGAAGAGGATGTGCCCAGGGAGGCCTTTGGCTCCGCTGGCTTGCCACCATTACTGCCCCGGAAGCTGAGGGATCGTTTCGTGGAACGCTCAAATATAGGCGTAACTGGAGCCTGCGGTGGCGAAGTTGCAAGGGCAGCGGCAGCTTCCTTAGCTTTAGTGGCCGCCAGACGAGGCGGTTTTGGAGGCGGAGCGGTTGAGGGAACGGCTGCCGAGGAGCAGGAGGGCCAACTGGTGGAGTTCTCGGAACCACTCTCACTAATCGTCTCCGAGCTGATGCTATTCTTACGCTGAGCCTTGGGGGTCTGCCGACCGCCTGCCTTGGAGCTCGTTCCTTGCGCAACACCCGTTCCCGTTCCCGCTCCTCCAGCTGCTGCTGCTGCCGCAACCCTCTGGGACTTGCTGGTGCCGCAGGCGTGCGCCTTGCCCGTGCAGCCCTTGTGGAAGGAGGGGTTCAAGCCCGATCCGGGGGCAGCAGGCACAGCCGGAACGATTCCGCCGCGCAACGTCTGCTCAAAGCTTTTGGGCTTAAGGAACATGGCTGTTATGCGATCACTGGGCACACGCAATTCTCATGGCCAGCTCGCGGAGCATGACCAGAGCAAACAAATACAGATACAGATGCAAACACAGATACACCGATGCGGACACAGGCACAGGTACAGGTACAGGCAGCGATGCGAAGATACACAATAGCCAGAGTCTGAAGCGGAGCGGGAAGTAGACGACGATTGGGTAACTGGAGCGCCCGCGGAACCTTGGAAACGGCTGGCTTTATGTGGCCGGAGCACTTAGCGCTTTGACATTAGACAATTGCGCGACTGAAAACGGCCAATCATCGGGCGATCGATCGATGGACCACCGAACTGACTTGGCTGACTGATTGATTGCACTGCAAGACTCAAGTCACGAACGCGACGAAGTCGACGGCGCCAACGAGTTATGAATTAAAGCCGTCCAGACCGAGTGACAGCCAGAATCGTCATGGCACACAAAACACTAAAATCCACTTCGGCAGCACTAGCAGTACTACAACTGGTAACAACATCGAATTTCACCGTGGGCGTCGCGCAGTCTTTCCTCGACTTCGATTTCCGTACCGAACCTGGGCAAAGTTTTCAGCGTACTGACGGCCCTGCTCCAAGCGCAGCGACTGCGGACCGTTCGACAACAACACACAACGCGAGCTGAGAAGAAACCAAAAACAACAACAAACCTAAAGACAACGACAGCAACAGCAACAACAGAAAAAGAAGCACAGACGAAAACACACTCGCAGTCAGCCGCCGCAGCAGCAGCAGCAGCAGTAGGCTACGTCGCAGCAATGTCGCTGCTTCAGCCGCCGTCTCTGCCCATGATAGTACACGGTAGCAGGAAGAGAACCTGGGTATAATGGAGTCAGAGCTGAACTAGCTTGAATAATCTTGGACAGACTTTGGGGAGTCGGGGTAGGCCCAATAGAATACCATATTTCTTAACCTAATAAGATTGTATACGATACATATGAGATAAATATGATAATAAGACACCTATTTTAATTCTCATTGTAATCTTATCAAAGTGTAGTTTAAAAGTGAACGAAAATAATCCAAGGGTATATAAATAAATGCCCATAAAATGTTAGTTAAGGTTGTAATTTGTATTTGGCAAAGGAAAAGCATGGTATCTAGCAGTCGAGCCACTTGCCTCCTGAAGTTCCTACATGTTTTGTTGTGGCTTTGCCTTCTATTTGTGTAGGCAGCTCCAAGTGGGTGTAGAAATGCACACACAGCTGCAGTCGCAGTCGAAGTCGCGTTGCAGTTGCAGTTGCAGTCGGTGCTGACTGCGCAGCTGCTTCGTGCTTTGGCCAAAGGCGATCTCATGGATCGTGGAAATCCATGGATCGTCGTCGCCTTTTGGTTGCTGCTGCTGCAGCTGCCTCTGCTGGCATAAAATGCATAAAGTGCATATCAAATGCAGTTCGAGTTTTTCCACAGTGTTGCCAAATCAGTTTGGTTTTATTTTCGTCTTCTTTCTTCAATGGAAGCGAGTAAGGCGCTGAAATATGTCAACGTCCTGACACCACCCCCAACAGTGCAACAACAAGCACTAAATATTTATAGAAGGGCCGGGACGGGCCGGACCAGGTTAGGCTGGATAGGTAACATAGATAGATGGATACACACACAGTTAGATCAACAGCCCAGAGCTGGGGACAATATTTCACAACATTTGTGCAAGTTAAACACGGCGAGAAAATGTCAAACACGTTTGTAGCATAGACAACAAGTCAATAAGAATTGCATTCGATGATTATATGAATGGGGAAATAGACGATTATCAAATGCTCTTTTGCTACCTGCTGAAATATCCCCAATTAATGAAAAATAAATTAAATATGAAAGATGTTTTTCCTAATCACAATACAATTTCAGGATCGTTTTAGTAATCCGAAATAAACGAATGCCCCAAGGATAGTATAGTCATGAATCGCATAAGAAAACGTTTCAATCGATGAATAGTAATACTAATTGGAGAATTCTAGTTACTGCGAGACATTCCCCGCTTAAAATACCTTCATTCCACACAACAGAAAATGAATCATATTTGAAGAGCTTAATAAGTAGGCAAATATTTGCGATATTCAACAGGAAACGCCCTGAAACTCCCATTAAGATAACTAATTCTTGGGCCGTTTGTGCCAATTGGAAGTATTTGGTCAATACAAATTTGATTCTAAGCTCTGAGAACATCATTCTATGGATGATTAATAATCCCTGCCATGCACCTGAGCTTCTCATACATAATTGATCGCAGTCCGATACATACTAATGGATAATGCGGTGGTTATGCAAGTACGGCCTCAAGGTTTGGTTCACTGCAATGCGATGACGAGCAGGCAAGCTCCATCAATCAGTTGGATCCACTCTTAAGTCTAATGGATGCAATGATCTTGACTCACCTGACGCTTGAAGCGCTTGCTGGCACTGCGCCGGAGGGTGTTGCAGTTGCCATTGGTAATGGAATGATCGATCTCCTCCACGGTAGCCGTGCTGGGTGCCATGCATCGCTTGCTCAGCTCCACTAACTCGGCAACTGGTTGAACCTATGCAAAGGTGACAAGGGTGATATGAGTAAAGGCCAATAATGAGCTTAGAACAAAGTACATAAATTAGTATCTAGTTTCAAACTAATTCCCTTCCATTTTAATTTTAGATTGTCTTTCACATGAAGAAGAGTTCATCGAACTTCACGGTGTACATACCTCTACGGTGACAGCATCACCGCTGTTCCGTATCAGCTCGATGATGATCTCCCGTGATAGCTCGCCCACCGGTGTTCCGTTCACCTTGATTAGTCGATCTCCGGGCAGCAGACCCGTGGCACCGCCGCCAGCACCTGGCTCGGCAAAGATTACCGGCCTGAAAATTGGCGATGTCAACGACTCTGTCCTATCCAGGCAGATGGCCTTCCTGAGGCTGAAGCCGAAATCCTGGCGCGGTGACTTTTGTCGACGAATAACCAGCTGTCTAGGAGGCGGCAGCTGCACCAGTTTTACCGGAGGAAGCGGCAACTCCACGTCTTCAAAGGCATGGACACGGGCCCAACGGTCAATGCCCTGCGACTCACCGACCGGACTCAGCGAGAAGGGGGGCGTGGCGAACGAGGAGTTTGTGGTATCTGTGAGACTGTCGGCGCTGGGCGACGGCGAGGTGAGCACATGGAGGTGAGATCCCTGGCTATTCGCATGGGGCGCAGCACCATAGCGAGCATTGGCCGGCAGCGTCATTGCCCTCTGGTGGCCGCCTGTCTGCTCGCCATCGCTGCGCAGGCTCTCAACGGAGGTGAAGGATGTGCCGTGCTGGCTGGAGTTGGAGCCAATTGAACCGGCTGCTCCCCGCACAGCTCCCTCGTAGAGCAGCTCATTTTGCATAGTGTTGCGCATGAGCATCTCAGGTGTGCCTCCGGTTGTCCCGGTGCTGCCTGTGAAGGAGATCTCTTCGTGCACATTTGTCATGTTACTGCGCGAACCCTTCAATATGCCCCGTTTGGGCGGTTTTGGCGGCACAGGCGGCAGGAATCGATTCTGGAATGGAGAAATACTTTAGTTAATTCGGTTTCTGGAAAGAATGTCGGATTAGGAACTCACCTTGAGCCCGCCGGCAAGCAGGGAATGCGTGACCTCGCTGTAGTTGACACTCACGCCGGCGCCGTTGGACGCCCGGCTCTCGATATGCGTCATCACAGATGCTACAATCTCCTCATTGCCGCGATCCTGTTCCGGGCCACCGGAGCCTCCGGCTGCCGCTCCTCCATTACTTCCATTGCCCGTGGCGTCGGCATTTAAAGCTGCAAAGAAGTCGGCACTGTAGTCCGCCGTAATGCCGCTGGGCAACTTCTCCTTCTCCTTGCGCCGCCCACGAATCTTCAGGGAGCGTCGGACTTCATCCAGGCGGAGCAGTTCGTCGGTGCTCATGCTGCCGGTGACGCCGCCAACCCCTCCAATGCCGCCAATTCCGATGCCGGCGCCGGTACCAGTGCCCTTAGCCTCTTTGCGCAGCTTCTTTTCCCGCTTGCGCCGCTCCTTTTCCTCGTCGCCGGCGCTCTTCTTCATAAAGTTGAACATCGTGTGTGGCGTGGTGTGGAGCGGGGGTCCTTAGGAGCTATCTAGCTGGTGGCGGGGACGGGATGGTGGTCAAGAATTAGCACTGGGTTAACGTAAAGTTCAAGGGCGTGACCAAAAGTCTGCACTAATTCGATTTGCAATGGTCTCCCTCTCCCACTCTCTTTCTCTGTCTCTATATTTCTGTGGTCGCCTTTTTTCATCTCAAGCTGTTTGCCATCTCTATCTAACACACGGCACAGCTCAGCCGAGCAATGCACCCGCCCGCACAAAAACAGTTATCTGGTCCGCTGTGCCTCTGTTGTGTGTGTGTGTGTGTGTGTGTGTGAGTGCTTGCACATTTGCAAATCACAACGTATAAACAATGGCACATATTTTCTTCATTTTAACATTTCTTCTTCTGCTGCGGTGGCGGCTTTGCTTTTGTCATTGAGTCGTTGCCATTTGCCCTGTTTCTGTTATTATTTATTATTCAATTATGCGCTTTCTTTTCTTTTCCACTTCCCCACCATACATATTTTGTTTTGTTTTCACACACACACACACTTGCACATGAAAGGGGGCTCGTAGCTGCATTTGTATTGATTGCCCCAGACTCATCTCCCTCTATTGCCTTACTTCCCCTTGCACATCTTTTCACGAATTGAATGTTTCTTTTCCTAATTGAATGCACCCGCCTCATTACTTATGCCACTCCAATTGCTCCTAGTCGGCGGACCACGGCCCACAAATGATACGATACACACGAAAGGCAGAAAAAAAGAAAGTTGCGAGTCAATAACACCTTTGTTTTTGCAGTTTTCTACGCCTTTTTTGATAACACACAAACACACCCGCACACTAACACACACCAGCTGGCAGCCACATTTGTTTATTCTAGAGTGGCAGGCGGGGCCCTCTCTTCCAATCGATTCACCTTTCTTTCTTTTTTTTTGCCACCAGAGCACTCCACAGACTTGCTTTTCTTTTTTTTTTAAACAGACTTTGTTCTGCATAAACAAATCACTGAGCAGTGTGACCGAACGTCGCGATACGAATAACACCACTTATATTTTCAGTAAGGCCGGCGATCCCACCTCTCACTATCGAGGTGGGAAACTCAGCTATTAACAAAAACGTAATCCGATTTAGTTTTAGCTAAAACTCAAACCAATATATGAACTGAATGGTTCCATTGATTAATCGATATCTTTTTGGTTCGTACAAAATACTAAAACTATCGGAATATTTCAGTATATTTATGGGTCGATTAATAAACATCGGTATTTAGCTGGCTCATTTTACCATCGCTAAGGGAAATTCCATTCCTAACTATCGAAAAAAAAGTGAAGCGTAAAAACTGTGTTTATGAAATATACGTTTTTAAAATTTGCAATTGCTTCATCGTCGCGTTGCAAAAACATAAATCGCCAAATAACGAGCCACGGTTGCTGTTTTCCAGACTGAATTTGCGTCTGTTCTAGTGTGTGCGAGCGTTCGTCTGCGAGTGTTTTAGTGTATGTGTGTGTGTGTGGTTCCGTTCCGTCCTCTGGTGTCTGGCACCTTAACACAACAACAACAAAAGCAGCAACAACGACACAACAGCAGCAACAACACACGCACAACAATAAGGCCCGTGACGTCGCTGCCGTCACCATCAAAAGCAAAAGACCAAAACGAGCAGAAAAACAAACAGCAGCAGCAGCAGTGGAAGCAACTAGCAGCAGAAGCACATCGCGGAATTGAAAGCAAAAGTCGAGTTCTTCTCGCAACCAACACTTAGGTGGGTAAGAGTGTGGCTTTTCCATCTATTCGTTTTTCAGTTTTTCCCTGTCCACAATTTCCACGATGAACGACGTGATTTGACATGTTGCTCTGCTAGGTCGCCGCTGCCCACACACACGTACAGTACATATACATGTATATATATTTATATAAAACACTGCCGCAGACAGACACCCACACAGGCAAACGGCCAGACACTCGCACCCATACACCTTAGCCGCTGTGGCAGACACGCGTACCACCACCCCCCTCGCCCACAGTCTGGCCTCGCACTTTGCAATGCAGCCATGCCTGTGGCTGTGTGTCTGTGCCTGTGTCTGTCACTGTGACTGTGACTGTGACTGCGGCTGTCTGTGTGTATTTTGTCGATTTTTATTTTATGTACATTTGTTTACAGTTTTAGATAGCGAAATTTGTACAGCCGTCGTTGACATTTTCGCAAATTGTAAATGAATATGCTTTTGCTTTTGCAGCTGTGTGTGAGTCGGTGTGTGTGCGCTGTGCCGAACAGTGCTGTGCTGTGCTGTGCTGTGCGGTGCTATGCGTGTGTGTGTCCGTATATAAGTTCATGAACAGTCGCCGCCGTTGACTTGTTTTGATTTAATTTCGCGCTAAATGCAATCGCGAACAATTTTCGCTCGGTATCGCTGCGTAACATGGCGGGGAATTTCGTTTGAAGCTGAAAGTGCCAGCGGCTGGCGCCTACGTCTGCATGTGGGCCAGTGACTAAGAGGCGGCGGCCCGCGAATCCCTTATTTTTTGTCGTATTTATATTTGTTGTACTTGCCAGCCAGCGGAAATGCCGGGCATGTTTGGCTTTCGCCCTACTCTGCTCTGCTCCGCATTAATCCCAGCTGCAGTTGCAGTTTCCGTTGCTGACGCAAGCGCCAAAGGCGGATTTGTCATAAACATGCAAAATATGACAATAACAATTGTTTACCAACGATCGGCAATCAGCCCAAGATAAGGGGGAAAACTGGGATAATGGGACTGTTTATATCTCTATGATTACCTAGGGCTTATCCTTTTCCAGTTAATTCCTTTGATTCCCGGAATTATCCCTTTCCATTAAGATTGGCTCAAGGTTACTACCATACCTAATATACAAATCCGTACTTTCCCAAAGTGAACCCCTTTGGTTTCCTAGTGTAGCTGCTAGTTGGTTTATCGGGAATCCCAGAACTTTGCACTTTTATGTGGGGAAACTGGGAACTCTGTCACTTCTCACACCCCGTGTAATGGCACGACAGAAATAGCCCAGGGATAACCAATTTAATTAATTCCTTTATTAGATTAATAATAATTGCAAGAACAAATTCTGATAAGTGGTTTGTCTAGACGGATGGCATGCCCTTCATTTCAATTTCAAAGATATTTAATATCTCCAACAATAAATATCCCTCTAATGGTGTTTTACTACTCCAATTTCAGGCAACTGGATTCGCTTGTGGCTAGGATTTGTGGAACAGCCTCAACACGAATTACCTACCGTTTGCCTTGCAGCGGCGATCAACTGTGGTTGCCAGCGCCGCTCCAGCGCCAGGAACCGCCAGCCGGCAAGCGGAGACTCCATCGAGCATCAATAGCAGTAGGGCCATTAACATCAACAACAGCTTCCAAAATAGCCCAAACAGCAGCGGAGGAGGCGGTAGCAGCGGCGATCACCTCTCCTGGAGGCAGCCATCCTGGCTAGAGTCCAGCGCCGGCAGCGCGGACACAGGAATAATGTCGATGAACGCCACCTTCACCACACCCAGCACGCCCAGCATTAGCATGAGTCACCCGATGACCGCCAATCCTCAGCTGGTCAAGGAGGGTTGGCTGCTTAAGCGGGGTGAGCACATCAAGACATGGCGCCAGCGCTACTTCGTTCTACGCTCCGACGGCAGGCTGGAGGGTTACCGCAGCAGGCCGGCGGACAGCACAGCGGTTTCGGAGCCTGTGTTAAATAACTTCACAGTAAAGGGCTGCCAAATCATGACCGTGGATCGGCCCAAACCATTTACCTTCATAATCCGCGGCCTGCAGTGGACGACGGTGATCGAAAGGACATTCGCCGTAGAATCTGAACTGGAGCGCCAGCAATGGACGGAGGCCATTCGCAATGTCTCCAGTCGGCTGATCGAAGTGGGCGAGATGGCCATGTCGCCGTCGGTGCAGTCTGACATGGCTGACGTGGACATGGCCGGTATTGCGGAAGTGGAGCTCTCCGAGCAGTTCTCGGTGCAGGGTACCACCTGCAACAGCAGCGGCGTCAAGAAAGTGGTGCGTATTAACCCTCTTCCAGCCGACTGACTGTTCGGTCACCAGCTAGTTGCGTGGTTTAACTGACTCCTTATCTCGTTGCAGACTTTAGAGAACTTTGAGTTCCTCAAGGTGCTCGGCAAGGGCACCTTCGGTAAGGTTATCCTTTGCCGCGAGAAGGCCACTGCCAAGCTGTACGCAATCAAAATTCTCAAAAGGAGGTCATCATCCAGAAGGACGAGGTGGCTCACACCCTGACAGAGAGTCGTGTGCTCAAGTCCACAAATCATCCGTTCCTCATTGTAAGTATTCCTTCATTTAAGTATATCTAAAACCTAGTCACATCTGTTTCTCCTCCTCCCGCAGTCTCTTAAATATTCGTTTCAAACCAACGATCGCCTGTGCTTCGTCATGCAGTACGTGAACGGAGGAGAGCTGTTCTGGCATCTGAGCCACGAGCGCATATTCACCGAGGACCGCACCCGGTTTTACGGAGCCGAGATCATTTCGGCCCTGGGCTACCTGCATTCGCAGGGCATCATCTATCGCGACTTGAAGCTGGAGAATCTTTTGCTGGACAAAGATGGCCACATCAAGGTCGCCGACTTCGGTCTGTGCAAAGAGGACATCACGTACGGCCGCACAACGAAAACCTTCTGCGGCACACCGGAATATCTAGCGCCGGAAGTATTAGACGACAATGACTATGGCCAGGCTGTGGATTGGTGGGGCACCGGCGTGGTCATGTATGAGATGGTGAGTCACCTCAGTCTTCATATGTTTTGTTGGATTAATATTGACAACGGGTTCCCGTGCCTCTATTCTCTTTTGCAGATATGTGGTCGTCTTCCGTTTTATAATCGTGATCATGATATACTCTTTACATTGATTTTGGTTGAGGAGGTTAAGTTCCCACGCAATATCACAGATGAGGCGAAAAATCTGCTCGCCGGTCTGCTGGTCAAGGATCCCAAGATGCGTCTGGGAGGTGGCAAAGATGATGTCAAGGAGATACAAGCGCATCCCTTCTTTGCGAGTATTAATTGGACGGATCTGGTTCTGAAAAAGGTACTAGCAGTGCTTACACTTCTGTTGAATATTCAGTTCATAAGCAATGTTTATCCCAATAGATTCAGCCGCCTTTCAAGCCTCAGGTCACATCAGATACGGATACAAGGTACTTTGACAAGGAGTTTACGGGAGAGAGTGTGGAACTTACGCCGCCGGATCCTACCGGGCCATTAGGCTCCATAGCCGAAGAGCCGCTTTTCCCGCAGGTAAGGAAACAAGTTCGCAGCCAGTGCATCAGTGAATCGCATTGCTCACACGATGTGTTAATATTTTTTTTTCGCCGCTACAGTTCAGCTACCAAGGAGACATGGCCTCCACGTTGGGCACCTCGTCGCACATTAGTACTTCCACAAGTCTCGCATCGATGCAATAGAACAAGTTTACAAACTTTAACAAGCACACACATCATGTTCTGCTTCATCACCTATAACTATACTATACCTATAACATATATAGAAATGGGCAAAAAAAGAAAAAGCAAGAAAATATTAAACAATAATTATACGAAGATAATGAAGGCAAGCTAAAGGGGTTTTCTTGCTATACGTTCTACAAACACCAATAATAAGAGGAATCCAATCGATAGTAACTTATTTTTTCATAACTAGAAAGGGAGATCGAAGCCGAGGAAAAAGTTTACAACATATGATTATACACATATACATATATATATATATACATCTAAATATAACACTTGGGGCATCGAGCTTGAAGTGATTAGTTAATCTTAAACGCAAGTAAAACATTTAATCGAGCTGCTCCTAGGCGGTACGTCAGATGGAAGGCAGGCGTCGCAGGCATCGCACGCATAAGGCCCGCTTAATCTGATTGATTATATAGAGCAACATATACACGGCACTCACACACACACAGACACTTAGCTTATAGTGAACGTGAAGTTAAGTTAACTGAACAGCAACAAATCGAAATACCCCCTCCCCAACACATACACACTCGTATATTTACATTATTTATACTCCAAAGAAGCAAGAAAAGAAATAATTACGAGTTATATTTAATGTTAAAATTGCCTCTTATGTGCTGTGCTTTATGCAAGACCACAGCAAGAACAACATAACCGAAATGGGAAACAAACTAATAGGTAATAAACGACAGAAATGATTACAAAAATGCAGTTTAACAGGCGCCAGCAATCAGTGAATCAGTTCAATTAAAGCTCCAATATCTACACACAGGCCGAAACGTATTTCGAAAACAATAACAAGAGCCACTAAATAATTACGATGGTCGCCATTTTTTATTATAATTTTTTTACGAGAAAATATATTTGTACATATTTATATAAAGAGCATAAAAACATTTTTAAATGAGAAAAAAAAAACAAAAAAAGAACAAAACTTAAAAGTGTCGCATGAATAATGGAAGTCTCCATTTTGAAAGGTTTAACCTTTGGCACAATGAAAAAATTTTAACTTTGTCATTTATTTTTGGCATTGAAAAGTTCATAGCAAGTTTTGTATACTTAGAGCAAGTCAGGCAAAAAATAAATAAAAATTAAAAATATATAAAGCAACCACAACAGACTTACACATGTTCCACAAGGAAAATTAAAAATAAATAATTATATAAACAGATAAAACCTAAAACGAAAGAAGAATTTTTGATATTTTTATATGCGCAATAAAAACAAAAATTATGAAAAACAAAAATGAGAAAAAAAAAAACGCGAAACAAACAAAAAACTAAACAAGTTATTTTATATTTCGAGAAGAAAAGCAAAATAAATTTTGTAAATAAAATTATATTAAATAAAATCATGTTCGGGCATTTCAGCTGAAAACAAAGCAAACAAAAACGCATAATCTCTCTTCTAAATGTTAAACCGAACCTATCAATCGGTGAGGAACACAATAAAACAAGCATATTGAAACGAATCGAAGCGATAGAAACGCCAAAGAAGCGGCAGAGAGAAATCCAGCAGTTTGCAGCCAGTCAGAGTTCGGTTAGAGTCCAATGATGAGTTGACTAGAAAGGACCCTTAACGAGAGATATCAGGACAGGCTCCGGTAGAATCACTATGTCTTTGCCCAGCTAGGACCTCCTGGCCAACTGCTGCTCCCTAGGCTTGCGGCTGACATCTAGGCTAGCCAATATCAATCTCAGATCGATCAAGCAATACATAGACAAAATATAGAACCCTCATAAGCATGGCTTACTAGACACATACAATCTAAGGAACCAGGAACTAGGAACGACTTCAGGCGACCCAAAATCCCCTTCGTCAGCCCGAATATGATGTGGGGAGTCCCAGCTAGAGATCTGTAGCAAAGATTTAGGAAACTGTTTAGGGATGATGATATCTGAAACTAGCCTTAGTGACGTCTCTAGGATCCCCCAAATCGAAGCATTTTTCGATATCAATAAGTCTAGTTGTCTAAGTTTACTGAGTTTACTGTAAGACAATTTTTGTTTTGATTTGTTCACACATCCCTCTACCTTCCTCCCCCTCCAAAAACACTCACAAACTGCAAACTATAATGTGTTCTAAACTAAAAATAATAAAACAAAGTGGTTTAAAAACATGACTATATATAGAAAGCGAGCCAGGAAAAGAGATATATATGTATATCCAGTCAGATCGTAGATCAAGTCGAGCAACTTGAGTTGTAGAAAAGGAATAGTTTGAAAAGAGTTCAGAGATACCCCGATACCGATTCAGAACCCAAATTATAATCGACAATTTGACTAGGAGTAATTTTTGATAGGCGGAACTGCGGATTTCGCACAGTTTTAATTATGAATAATATTACCAAATAATGATAATAACGACTAAGCTGATTTATGAAACGATTCAAGATCGAACTAAACCATATACACCACTTGTATGTATAGTAAAATGAGGACTAACATCAACTGAGCAGCAACCATGTAGATATGTACGATCTGCATAAGTACTATAATGATTACGATTAATTTATACGCGCTTACGCATACCAACATGCAAACATTATGAGAATATATATATATCTATATATATATATACAGGATATATATACGATATAAGGTGTGTATGTACCTTATACATGCATTCAAACCAAGTTTATTATACAGTGAAAACAATATAATAATAAAACTACATAAAACCAAATTTCATTGAAACCCGAGACTCGGGTATTCCTATTGTACTTGCTTATGGAGGATGGCTTATTGTATAATACAAGTATTTTCGATATAAATTCTAGTTTGTAAAGATAATTCTGAGAAATATCTTCAGCATTTTTTTTTGCAGATTACATAACTCGAGCGGAAAGTTCTCAGCAATAAAGATTCCACTCACCTCATACTCTGGGAAAATTGGGTCAAGAAAACTATGCGAAAACGAGGAGGCACAGCAATGGATGTGGAAATGGAGGAAGCGAACAAAAAAAAAACCCACTGGACAAGCGCCAATGACCGACTTAAATATTCGGGAGCAGGAGCCGGAGTCCGAGGAGTGGGCAGTGCGTGACAGACCCGCGGCTAGGCCCGAGGAAAGAGCTCCCTGCCCCCGAATCCCATGGAGCATGCGAACAATGCGTTTTGTCCGATGATTAATTGCAACGCAATCTTGGAGGCCAAAGAGTCGCGGAAGCGGTGGAGACAGCTTTCCCCCAACCTCGCATGGGATCGCTATGTGTGTATGTTCCAATGTGTTTGCAGGCAGAATGTGTGTCGCTCCAGCAGGCGTATTTTTTACTCAAAAACACAAAAGCTATTAATTTTTTAGCAACTGCGCCCAGCCGAAATGGCCGAGACAAAGCGATGAAATTAAATTTTGAACGCAACGCAATGAAAGCGAAAGTGAATCGATGTGAATCACATTGAACTTGAGAGATGAGGTTTTATGAACTGGGTTGGTTTCTGGGTTGGGCCGGGCTGTGCATCCTTAAGCCAACACTGACTGACTGCATCTGTGGCAAGCCCTAAGTGCTTAGGAAAAGTGCGATTTGTACTTTCCCTTTTTAGAGCTGTCCGAGCCAAGTTGAGCTCAAAACCGGGATAGAGAGCTTATGACGGATAAGACGACAAATGAAATGGCAAACACCGAGACCAAATGAAAGCCAGTTATCGGAAATACAAGGTACGAGGCTGCAGCGAATATGAGATGCTCTAGAGAAGCTATAATACACACTTTGAACTATAGAAGTCTTCCAAACAATATTCGAGAGATGTATTACCAATTGGCTTAATATATTCTAAGAGTATTCAGTTCTTGTCCATGTTTTAAGCTAAGAATCCCCTAAAAAGAGTTAATACTTTCTTCTTGGTGAGTGCAGTTTGAATATCGGTTACTTTTCAATACATTGTTTATGGAAATCTTCAATGTTTTCCTACCAACTTATACCCTTACTCTCATCCCTGAGCGAAGTGTATGTTAGAGGGAAGTGTGCAGGGTTACTGCGGCTCCGTTTGCTTTGTTCGCTACGCGCGTTTTTCGCGCTTTTCATTTGCCAAGCGATTTTTCCATTTTCACCTCGAGCTCTCGGGGCTCTCTTTGGTTTATAGTAATGTGAAAATTTCTGAAACTAGAAAATAACAAACAACTATTTGTTGTTGCCGTGCGGGACTATGCAGTGCTTGCTGGGCAGCCGCGGCTGGCACCGTGAGTATGTGCTGGCACTTGACAACTCCAGCTCTGAGCACTGAGATCCGAGCTGGTAGCGCAGAGCGGAGTCTAGGAAAAGCGGAGAAGAAAAGTGAAATACATCAAGGCACGTCACATCCATCAGACATTTATGAGCAGCACGAGAGCACGCCCCACTCCAGAGCGGAGCAAGTCTTGGTCCACGACCAGGTCCACCAGAAACAGGCTGACCACCTCCTCCTCCTCCTGCCCCGTCGCGCATCAAGCGCGCCCCAAAGGCCCAGCCAAAGCGTGGCTAATGAATTGGAATTGTTTAAAGATCTGCGGGAGGAGCTGGGGCTGTGGTGGAGGACAGGCAGAGGACGCCTTGGTCTAAGTGTCGTCGTCTAGCTGCAATCGAAATTAATGAAAAACTTTCGTTTATTTAATTGCGCAGCCTCCCAGACGGGACAGAAGATGATGGTGCTGGTGCTGGTGCCGGTGGTGGCCCAGAAGAGGGGTATCTTTATGGGTTATGGCCAGATGAGATCCATAGGGCAAGACCAGCCGGCTGGATCCAACGCAACTCCAACTCAATCCATCGATCCAGCAATCCGGCACGGCAGACAGACTTTTGCCATCGATGTCTGAGTGAAAATGATTGATTGATTGATCGGCGTTTTGTTTGTTGTTAATATTATTTGCCGTTTATATATATATAGCAATCGGCGTTGTCAGTATTTGGCGGTTGTAACTCCTTTTTGGTGTAGCCGAAGATTTGTTTGACTTTTTAGCGGGCAATTATTTATTTGTTTCTCGATTTCGCCTGCAATTTTCGTTTGTTCCCTATTAAGGGGATCGCGTCGATACATCGCTCCGCGGACAATCCGTGATTGAGGCTGATTGAGAGGAGGACTGATGGCTCTCGAATCTGCCGGCTAATTGCTGCCGGAGTGGGGGAAAGTGTGACGACAAGTGATCCACTTTTAACGCGCTGGACCATGTGTGATCTGCTAATGATCAGCTAATGGTTCCCAATGATGATCTACTTTGGCATTTCGTCTGCAGATTATCACTTGGATAAAACACAACTAAGCTTGTACTTGTAGCGGGAAATCCAATTATGTTTCCAATTGCCATAGTCCACTGACAGATTGATTTCTTAAATGCGGATTCATGTGCTAGAATTTGTCGGGGAAATGCTTTGATGGCCAGAAACATATTCCCATAGTTATTAGGTAGTGTTTATACCCTTGCAGGGTATTATAATTTCAGTCAGAAGTTTGCAACGCAGTTAAGGAGGGACTTCCGACCATATAAAGTATATATATTCTTGATCAGGATCAGCAGCCGAGTCGATCTAGTCATGTCCGTCTGTCCGTCTGTCCGTTTCTACGCAAACTAGTCTCTCAGTTTTACAGCTATCTTAATGAAACTTTGTAGTTAGCCTTCTATATACTCTCACTCGTATATATGTCGGAACGGACGACTATATCATATAGCTGTCATAGGAATGATCGGAAAATTTTTACAAAAAAAGTTATAACATTTTCAGTTTACAGCAGATTTTTATCAAATTTGAGATATAGCCATTTTATTATACTCTACAATTCTGTGTAAAATTTTATGAATTATGAAAATCGAACTACTATATCATATAGCTCCCATAGGAACGATCGAGAAATTAATACAATTAAAAATTACAACTATTTCAGTTTAAAACAGATCATCATCAAGTTTGAGGTGTAGCCAT